CTGCCGGGAGTAAGCATGGCTGAGAGATGAGGTACAAAAGGATGGAGGATCGCCGTCTGAAATGGCTGGACTATCGACTCGGCAGCATTCTCTCACTCTCATAAAAGCAACTATAGATCAATTCATTGACAATGCGTTTCGCTCTCGCTCTGTCATGGCTCCCTCTCAGCCTAGCCCTCCATATCCCCGAATCTCTCGACCGCCGCACCAAGCATAAACCCATCACAGATTGTTCAGCAGAACAAGTAATCGATCTTCTCAAGCTTGAACCCAACACCGAAAAAGGTTACTTTGTCCAAACTTTCGTAGACCCAACTACTGTTCCAGGAACCAATCGATCCGTCAGCACAGCTATTTACTATCTGCTCGAAGGTTCTGCGGGACAATCTCTCTGGCATAAACTCGACGCCGCGGAAGTTTGGCACTATTACGCTGGCGCACCTCTTGTTCTCTCGCTATCGAAGAATGATGGATCCTGCACGAGGGACCATGTAATGGGCAATGATCTCTTCGGTGGACAGAGACCGCAGGTCGTTGTCAAAGCGGAGGAGTGGCAGAGTGCCCGAAGTCTGGGTGACTGGACTCTTGTTGGGACAACTGGTAAGTTATGAGATGATGTTGAAGGGATGGAGAGATGAACTAATGTCAATAGTTGCGCCGGGATTTGATCCGGCTGGACAGGTCTTGAAGCCAGAGGGATGGAAACCCAAGTCTTGCAAGAAGCCCAATTGAGGTTCCCTCGTTACCTTTGATTTGCAGCGGGATCATTACGTACGAGAGAACAACTGAAATCCATCTATTTTTTCAATAAACACATCTTTAGTCGGTAACAATGATTGATCAATTTGGGTGCAGTAATGCGTAAAGTCTAAGTGAAATAATAAGTATGTACAAGAATTAAACAATGTTCCTTCACATTGTGAATCAATGAAAGACAGCCAGGTAGTTGAGAAGTTATAGCCACCTCAACGAGAGAATCTAGAAAGCGCAGGCACAGGTACAGAGACCGACACGCGCGCATCATCCTTCCTCTCATCCGACGACGCAACTCTCACCATCTCACAGTCCAAGCCACCATGGGCATTAAAGGTTTGAGGACTAGATTCATGGGTATCCTTTGCGGAGTAAGTAACATTTCTAAAAGCCCGTACAAACCATGGTTTTCTTCCTGGCGCCTTCCAGGTCCAGTATTCTTTCATGTCGTAGTTATCTGGCTCTAGCCTGCCGCCTGAGAGGCGAACGGTTAAGGAAATCATGAGATTTAGAGCTGTGTAAAGAAACATGCCGCTGAGGGAATGTTAGATGAGGAGCGTTCAAGAAAATGAGTGAACTTACGCGATGATTCCGTAGGCTACGCTGTACGAAAATGGAACAAAGGCGATGACGACGAATGAGGGGAGCGTGTCACCGATATAGCGCCAGTTGATCTCAGTGATCTGACGAGCCATCATGCATCCGACCTGTGAATCATCAGTCAAGTCCAAGTTTACGTCTGCCTCACACCTTACCAGAATCAGAGCCGGTCCAGTTGCCCACGGCGGCACAGATGAGAAGATGGGTCCAAATACGATAGACAAAAGAAACAAGAAGCCAGTAGTCATAGCTGTAAGACCCGTGCGACCTCCTTCAGCAATACCAGCGCCACTCTCAATAAATGCCGTAACAGGTGAACAGCCGAATAGAGCACTGATAGAAATGCTGATTGCATCACAGCAATAGGCAAGGGTTGACTGGGGAAAATCTCCATCCCGATCATCAACGACGCCGCAAAATCGGACCATGGAGAACATTGTTGCTGTGGCATCAATGATATCAACGCTTGTTTTGTCAGTAAAAGTAAGATAAGAAAACTTAGAAGAACTTCAAAGAACTTACTAAAGGAATGTGAAGAGGGCGAGGGCAAATTGAGTACCGTGTTGGCCTACGTTCCAATCGAGAGCATTGAGGGTATGCTTCATAGGGTTGACGGAAGCTACTTTGCGGAAGAACTCGAAACGAGAGTTTCCTTCTGGCGTGTGAGGGAAGTATGTAACGGCAGTATCGCGTCTGCTTCTATCAGAGACCCAGACAGGCATCGGGCACTGGGGACGACTTACGGCCATGAGAGGATGGACACAAATGCGATGCCAATGATGAAGGCGTATTTGACCCGGAAGGCCATGAGATACGCCGTCAGTAAACCACCAGCAAATATCGCAGTCCAAAGCTTTCATCAAGTCAGTATATCTCTCGCAACTTCGGGCCACCAACTCACCTTGGGACTAGTCATTATCCCGCCCTCACACATTTGAGTATCTGGATTAATCCTATCAACAGGACATCCAGCTATCGCCAACGGCGTTGCGTTGAAACCCCCAGTAATAGCACCAATGCCCGAACCGTACGACAACCCGATCTCTGTGAGAAATAAACCAATGCCTGCTCCCGTTGCAGATTTTATGGTTGACGGGATGAGTTTAACGAGCCATTGTCGCATACCTGTAAGTGCGAGGAAGACAAAGATGAGACCTTCGGTGAAGACGGCTGTTAACGCGACGCCGTAGGGAATGCTTCCTGAGCCGTTGTAGCCCACTACTTGGAAGGCGAAGTAGGCGTTGAGGCCCATGCCAGGTCTGGGCTTGTTAGATGAGTGAAGTCTTTGGAGATGGGTGCTCACGCGAGGGCTATAGGCAGATTGGTGAAGAGGCCAAACACGAGGGTTGCGAGCCCTGCGATGGCTGATGTCGCCGTGACGAGATCTCGTCTCACCTCTGTCATCTCATTAATCTTCTTCTTCTTCTTCTTCTTCTTCTTCGCGAAGTAAAGGTAAACTCACCCTCTTTACACATCACATAGCTATCAATCTTATCACAATCAATCCTATTCGTCTCATCACAAACACAAGGACCACCCGTCTGCGACAGAATAGAAGCCTACACCTCATCAGCACTCCTCCAACCCTCCCTCACAACCCACTTACATTAACAGCAATGATATACGTCATAGCAGCAAAGGTCGTCGCCCCAGCACGAACTTCTTTCAAGAACGTCGTCCTGTCGATCGCCATGCTCTAAAAGCAGATTAGTAGGAGCGCTGTCTGACTGGAATGAAACATACGTGACTACTGCCCTCTAGCCTGAAGAACCGGCCAATGAAGGAGGTTGCGACTCGCCTGTTGAACCTTGCGGCTAGATCTGCCGCGTGGTTCTTCATGATTGCTTCTAGACTTCTTTGTGAGATTCTTTGTTGCTCAAACAACTTCTTTTCTTCACGTCAAAGGAACACAGCACATGGCTAAGAAGAATGACGGGTGACATGGGATAATAACGCAGCCAAGAATTGTTGACACCTCGCTTAGACATTTCACTATGCATGATTACGTCTCACCATTAAGCCACCAAACAGTATGTACTGATCAATAAGAATCAAGGCTGCACACCAACTTGGTCTTAGTGGGAGTCACCGAAATCGGTCTCGTGGAAATGTTACCCGGCTAGGGGAGGAACGAAAATACAGGTACTCGATCCTAAATGACAAAAAGACTTAGGTAAGATAGCCTAAGTTTAGGATGACTTTTGCTAAGTTTATTTTGATACCCCACAGTCAGTGTTCGCTGTTTTCTTGCCCCCCGAGGCCCGGGTTGTTGGTGAGGCTGGCTGAGGAACGCTAAAAGCCACGCCAACCATGTGGCATGGGTTCTCGTGTAAAAAAAAGAAAAGTAAAAGTTAAAAATGCGTGGTTGCACATTGGTCAGGTACGAGAGCGAGATTAATGGGGTGAGACTTTCGATAGTCTGGCCAAGGGGAAGTTAATCGTGTGATTCTCGTTTCTTTTGTGATTTTTGATACATCATCTCGATCTGCCGATAGTGCAGTGTAAGAGTGACGTGAATTGACCTCCAAAATGTCAGTGCAATCAATGCATGTGCCCGCCCGTTCCGTCAATCCAAGGAAATAAAGCATGATCAGATGTACTACCCACAGACCCCTGAGCTGAGCTGCACTGTTTGCTACCCAAGCCACAAGAGACCCAAGACCCAACAATGCGGAAAAGGTTGAACTCGTGGCATTGGTGTTTTTAGTTCCGGCTGACTTATCGAGATTCTAGGCGGGACTAGACTTGTGTTGGGTTTGGGCTGGGCCATCACGTCCCCGCAAATGGTCTAGAACTCCAAGCCACGATATGCAAAAGTGATGCTTTGAGCTACTGCTTTTCTCGGCACTGGTGTGAGGTATTTGATCTATAGTACGTGCGCTTCCCTTCCGCTTAAGCCAATTACGGTGTTTAAAAGAGTGTCAAGGTTATCTTGAAACAATGCAAGGTGAGTGCTGCATGTACCTAACCATCATCATGAGTCGTCGTTAATAATGATCAAACAACGAACTTAAACGCAACAAATTGTGTTGAGTAATCTCTTTGTGTAATGCCAAAGACGTTGGCATGCTGATTGTCAAAGCAAACAATGGCATCTAAGTTATGCTCAGCCAAAAAGGGCGTCCGATAGCCGCAAGCCACTCCAACGCCCAGGCCGCATCGAGACCATGACATGAGGTGATCTGCCCTGTTCCCCTGCATGAGCACAGCTGAAATTCGTCTCCCCAGCTTAAGAGCTCTCTCGGTACCACCGTTTCAATTCGGGTAAATCGTAAGCTATCCGTATTCTTAATCTCACATAGCGTCCTTCGCGTAAATAACCTGCTCTTCCGCTGGGAATACCGCATTCCGCAGGACCCAGGCTCGGATCTCCCATGCCGCCAGCCACTTTCTCGCCATTAGACTTCCGCAAATCCCGTTCGCAACTGAGGCCTCGACACTCTCCGCAAAGACGACAGAGTTCAGCCTCGCATTCGCCAGCTGCAAGCCCGCTCGCCCCCTTTGACCCAATCCCCTGGGTATGTTTCTCTCTTGTTTAATTTCGTATGCAACCCTCGTCCGACTTTCCCCCCTCCCCCCCTGTTCCCTGCTCCCCCTCATCAAGTTTGCTTTGTGTTGTTGTCTTTCAGCTCAGCATGCATGACACCATGGTGCCGTCCTCATTAACAGAACCAGACGCTGCGGCAGAGTCCTCCACCCGCGGTCGCTTCTACTCCATCCTCCGAAAGCCAGCATCGAACCTCGCCCTCCGAATCTCAGACCTTGATCGATATCGCCTCAACATGTGGGAGGTCAGTTGGGCTGCTCCCAAGGAGTCGCGAAAGGAACATCGTGAGAACAAAGCGGCGACCGGCAAATCTGCGACAAAAGCGCGGTCAATCTTCAGTCGCGGGTCTAACTCGTCGAGCGAGGCACCGTCGTTTGGGAACTTTTATAATAAGCGAAAGAATGCCGAGAGAGGGAATGACTCTGTGTCGTCGACGTCTTCGAAAGCGAGCGCTCTAGCGGGGAATTATGAGTTGGAGGCAGATGAAGCTTCGACCTTTTCGGTGAGGAGTGAGCAGACGAAAATCAATATGGCGAGGGTCGTTGATCTCAGCGCAAGGCGAAATGGACAGATTCTGGATCGCTCTCAAGGTTTGCGACATCGCGCGGTGGTTGTTCGTATCATGCTAATATTTTGGCAGACCTATACGTTGGGGATAACACGCTTCTTGAGCCGCCTTCACCAACACTCACATCGTCATCTGCGCCCTGGGATACAGAAACTCTTGAGCGAGTCATTATACAGCCGTGGCCTCTCATCCAAGCCTTGAGCGATGACTCGTTTGTCGCGCGAAGTACGGAGGCGACAACATCTCAACGCACATCCTACGATACACCGTATCTCATCAATTGCGGTGTTACAATCATGGCGACACCCAGCATCAAGTCTAAGCATCGCGCCCGCTCACCAAGCACTCAGTCAGTCTCAATCATCACTCACAACGTATATCTGCTCACCTCATTCAGATCCCAACCTCAACGTCCACAGAGTAGTCGATCACCAACCAAGGCCAAGACCCCACGACGCATGCCATCATCCACGGCGTCACTACGTGTCGAGAGCAGCGATGGTTGGCAGCCTCCAAGTGAATGGGCCTGTACGCCCACTGAGCCCTCTTTCCAATTCCCTGACGAACCTGTCCCCGAGCCAGAAGCTATCATCCCCAAGGAACTCAACGCGATGCAGTTGGGTGTCAAGCAACTTGCCAAAGAGGACAACATGGTCAGACTCATACGTCTTGCTGAAGCGCAGGGTGTCAATAATCCGCCGAGCTTATGTCAGGATCTGGAAGTTGAGAAGATGCAGTGGATGCTTTCTGCCATGTTCAACATGGATGGACCCGAGTATTCTGAGATCAATGATGATCTTGATGATGAGTCGGCGGATCCACCGAAGAGGATCCTTGCTCTTTATGAAACACCTGGTAAGTGATCTCACTCACGTACTAATCACACCCAACTAACATCTCACAGCTGTGACTTCATACCTCGCTGCCGTGAATCACTGCAAACAAGTCTACCATCTCTCCGCAGCACCATTATCACCCTCTTCATTTCCCAATATTCACCCTGTCCTCACACCAGTGCGATCACCCTCCGCATTCCCCGTCGCCCCATCTACCGTTGAAGCCGTTCACTCACTGCGCCTTCCTCTCGCTATGCCATCACAGGATATCCCCGCTCTCTTACGAAACATTCATCGATGTCTTGAGCCAGGTGGTTCATTGCAACTCACCATCATCGATCCCCTTCCCGTTACTAGCACTCTCGGTCCGCTTCTACGAGCGTGGATTGAAGATCATCTTCTCTTCAACCTGGAAGCTAGTTTCCGTTGCACAAACCCAAGCAAGTTACTCCCTCTTTGGCTGAATGGTGCATCTCTACGTGTCGATCCTGATTGTATCGAGACGACACCATTCTTCGCTATCCCGCTTGACAATAGTCAGCTTCAGTATGTGAGAGAAGGTCACATATCTGAAGAGGGTCTGAGACAAGAACTTCGTAATCTTGTGGGGCGCATGCTCTGGATGGAAGTTTGGAGAGAATACATCGTCGCCGACCGCTGGTGGTGGGAAGATCCTGAGATTCTCCAAGAGTGCATCCAGCATCAGACGACATGGGAATGGAAGCTAATTGAGGCAGTCAAGGAAACCTAATATTTCTTTTTCTTTGTTGTATATGGTTGTTATACGGTAATTTTAGATAGCATTATACCCTTGGAGTCTTAATGATGATTATAATTGACGGAATCATACCTATTCCCTGTGTTCCGGTGCCATCCTCTCAATCCCTGGCGCTGCCCAGGTTCTTATGCTCCTCCAAACCATCCGTGTGCCTCACAGTCTCCACCAACCTCTCAATCCTTCCACTCTCGTCAACACTCGCAAAGAGAAAGACCTCGTATTTGGATGGAGGTTTGTTGGAAAACTCGGCTGTGACAAAATGGCGCTCGGCGAGTTGTTTGCCTTCTCGAAGGAAATGCGTCACTTGGACTTTGATAGCTGTCGTAACCTGTCGCAGATGTTGAATGTGGTCAACAAACTCGGGGAATTCGATACATTTTCCGTCCACAATTGATGTATAGTCTTGAGTGAAGAGACCTTCGAGATCGGCTCCGGTGGTTTCTGGTTTACCGATGAAGATACTCTCAAAGCCTTTTTCGTAATTGTCGAGAGAAGATGTCCAGTCAACGTGGGATGATTTAGATGTCATTTTGTGAGATTGGAAAACCTTCTCATTAACAAAGATGTCGATTGTGATGTGGTGAAGATGTGGTTAGGAATAGCTTAGTTCACTGTAGACTACAGAGTACGTTGTTGTCTCTTATGTATGGACAATCCCCGCGGACTCATCTCCGAGCCCCGCGGACCTCCGCCGTCATCTTTCAGGTCCCAGAAGAGTATGAGGCAGAGACCTGGACGAACTTGAAGGGCCCATAATAGCTATTAATGAGTAAAGGGAGTCGGAATACCCTTGTCTAATGATAAAGACTACACAAAAGACGAAGTACTGGTGCTGTTATTGCCCCTACGTGCTTGGGTTGATTATACTACCCGGTAGCGAATCAGTCTATTTGCTAAACGTAATATCTGTATATTCATCAACAAAGCCATTTGCCTCCTTAGTGTAACAAAGAAAAGAACAATCTTCTTATTTACATATTTGCTACCTGTAAAGTGTTTTCTCTCGGTTTTAGTCTTGATTCGCTATGTTAGCGATGATTGAAATTTAGCATATTTATGTGGTAAGACGCGAGATTTCAAGCTAAGGGTCTGAAGTCAAGGCCAGCTAATAAATACTTAGTGTAAGTATACATAAACGTAATAACTTTATCCAAGATATTCGTTCTCGATGTTCTAAACATCTTAACTTCTCACTTGGAAGAAATGCTCACTTGAACGTGGCCGTTAGAGTAGCACAAAACAGTGGGCCCAGCGAGGAGATCAAGGGCGGCCGATAAGAAATCCCTGCCAATAGGATTACTTCCATCCCGCTAGAGTTAGCTCCTTCAAGGTCTCGCACTAACACAATCAACCCCACCTCCACTCGACTCAAGCGTGAAGTCGTTCAACCACTACATACTCCTCTCATCACTAATTTCTGTACAACTCTCGCTCAATCTCATCATACTGAGGCGAAGGACGGATAATAGCTAGCGAAGATGCGCGTACTAGGTCTTCTCGGTGGCACGACCTACAACGCAACCCTCCTCTACTACAAACAAATAAACGCGTATGTCCAAAACCGTCTCGGCGGCGGCCACTCCTCCAAACTCCTCCTTCACTCCTTCGACCACGCCGAGCTCTTCAGTTTCTTCCAAGCAGGTAACTACAACGAAGTATCCCGCCAAATCTGCACCGCAGCGAAGAATCTCAAGTCTATCGGCGCAGAAGCCATCGTTCTCTGCGTAAACACGAATCATCGCTGGGCAGAAGATGTTGAAAACGCAACGGGCCTTCCACTGTTGCATATCATTGATTTTACGGGAGATGCGATTGTTAAAAAAGGGTTGAAGAAAGTTGCGTTGTTGGGGACAAAGATCAGCATGGAGGAGGACTTTTTGAAGGGGAGGCTGGGGAGGAGGTTTGGGGTTGAAGTCCTTGTTCCGAAGGGGGAGGAGACGAGGCAGAGGATGGATCGTGTGATTTTCGAAGAGCTTTCGTGTAACAAGATATTGCCTCAGTCAAGGGACTTTTACATGGATCAGATTAAGGACTTGTATGGGAGGGGTGCTGAAGGGGTTATTTTGGGCTGTACAGAGTTGCAGATGATACTGAAGCCTGGGGATGTCGATGTGCCGATGTTTGATACCGTCGAGTTACATGCGAAAGGCGCTGCGAAATGGCAGCTAGAGGAGTGACAATAATCATGGTGTCTTGGTCGTCTGATATAATATAGTGAAGTTCTGCCTTATCAAAACAACAAATTGAAAAGAAATACTTAGTTCTCATGCTTGTTCATCATACTTCCGGCCGTAATGTAGTCTACTCTAAAAAGTTCCTCCCGCAACAGATTCTGCGCTAATAATCACCGTGCCTGGATATCTTGGAGCCCTTATTTGTTAAGAATAGCAGACCAGTCGTACTTCTTTGCCCATTCCTCCCAGCTCGTCATAGGGCAGTCAATACCAGCCTGTCAAGTTAGCATTTTTCCAAACTCCCAGAACAAAACACATACCTCTTGGATATCCTTCGCCTTGAGCAACTTCATGCCGCCATCGTATCCAGGATCAGAAGTATACGAAAACATATACCCTGTCTCGATACCCGCGTCGCGATCAGGCGTAGCAGCTGTCATCTCGTCTGGCGTCACCTGGCGGTACTTGACAGGGACGTTGTTGATGCGGCCCCAAGTCTCGATCCACTCTGGCCATGTGCAGGTTGTGCCTTCAGCCATGTAGGCCTTGCCAGGGGGCATTTGGTACACGGCGTAGGTGAAGTTGCCTAGATCGCCCACTGGGTCGAGATGAGGAACGAGACTGTCGGGGGAGGTAGTGAAGGACATTTCAAAGGTCCCATCAGGGAGCTACTTCTTATCAGTGCCAGTCCATGTTAAACGTGGATGAACCTACCTTGTTCATATAAGAGTCGGGTAGAATGTTGAAGCTCGTGTAGAAGTACCCCGTGTGAATGCACGACATCTTGGCCGCAAGCTCAGGATACTTCTCATCAACATACGCCGGAAAAACATCCGCCTTGCCATCAAAATGATACAACTCCTTGAACTTGCCTCCACTGCACTTCTCAGCCTGACTCAGCGTCGAGACCAAGAACCCATTATCATCCAGCGTATCAACGGCTGTAGCAGCCGCATCGACAATATTCTTGCCCTGCTGCACCTCAACATTATACGCAAACTTGCGACACGAAATGCCCTCCTTGGCAGCCTGCTCCCGACAATCCGGTCGGAAAAAGGGCTCCCAGTAGTTAGTCACGCTGAAGATGACGTTTGCTCCCGCAAAGGCACTCTTGAGAGTCGAGACGTCATTGAGATCAACAGCCACGACTTCGGCTCCCGCCGATGACAGGGCCTGGGCGGAGGGTGAGGCGGTGTTGCGGGTCAAGCCACGCACCTTGAAGCCCGCCTTGAGAAAGCGACGGGCGACGGAGCCGCCCTGGTTGCCTGTGGCGCCAACTACGCAGATGAGTTTGTCGTTGGCCATTGCTTTTGTTTGTCTTGGTTCTGAAATGGAAAGAGGAGAAGGGGGAGAAATTCGGTGAGGGTTTATTTCCTTAGCCGACTTGGCTTTAGTTGGTGCTGCTTGAGTCTGGGCCCCCCTCTAAAAGACGGAGATGCATTCCTAGATCGATGTGACTAGACCCAATCGAGCCCAATCGTACCACGGCCCTGGAATTCCCAGTTTTCTCTCTTCTCTCTCTGTCTTTTCTTTCTCCCGTGTGTCCCGCGCCTGTTCCCCACGTGGCTGATTATCTTTTCCCTCCCTCATACTCCGCTCGAGCTTGACATGACTACGGTTTCACATACCTAATAGTGCTTATTTGGGCCAGCTCTGCCAACTATGGGCTCTGAACACGATTCCAAACCAGAGACTTCTTCGTCGCCCGTAGCGTCAGGGTCTCCTCCACCCGTTACCACTCTGTCGGGTCAAGATCCTGGTGAGACGCGCCGATCGCCCGCAGATGACGAGGACCAACAGCCAGAAGAGCATGCGCCGCTCCAGGTCGATGTACGCTCTGACTCATTCACACATGACTCAATTTATCGTGTTAATCATTTTTAGGAGGATGAAATAGCTGCCGATGATGCAGACTCTACTTATGGCTCTGACCGAGGCTCGGTCTACACTGCTTCCGCCACGTCATCAATCTACGACTACCAGTATGAAAATGGCCGTCGCTACCACGCTTTTCGCGAGGGCCAATACGTCCTCCCAAACGACGACCAGGAGCAACAACGTCTAGATCTTCAGCATCACATCTGGCGCTTGCTCCTCGGCGGCGCTCTTCACACAGCGCCGTTACCTAACCCAGACTCACCCGAGGAATACCGCATACTGGATCTCGGCTGCGGCACTGGCATCTGGGCCATAGAAATGGCAGATGAGTACCCCAATGCAACAGTCGCAGGCGTAGACCTTTCTCCGATCCAGCCGGACTGGGTACCCGGTAACTGCATGTTTCACGTCGACGACTACGAAGATGAGTGGACGTACCGCGAGAGTGAGAGGTTTGACTACATCCACGGCCGGGCGCTCAGCGGCACGAGCGCAGATTGGATGCGGTTCTACAAGCAGGCGCTTAATCATCTGAAGCCAGGCGGGTATATGGAGATGCAAGAGTATGATGCGTGGATCTTCAGCGACGACGATAGTTGCGATAGGGCGCCGTGGACGATGGAGTGGGTTAATAAGCTTGATGAGGCGAGTAAGATGTTTGGAAAGCAGATCAATGTGGCCAAGTATCATAAGCAGTGGATGATTGATGCTGGTTTCGAAGATGTCGTTGAGAGAGTTTATAGAGTAAGTTTCATCTCACCGTTACATCGCTGGTTACTGACTTTGGTAGATACCCATTGGTCCCTGGGCGAAAGACCCGACGCTGAAGGAGCTGGGAAAGTTTGAGCTGACGCATATGCAAATGTCGGTTGAGTCGCATACACCGGCTTTGTTCACGCGTGTGTGGAATTATTCGCACGATCAGGTTATGGTGTTGATGGAGGGTGTGAAGAGGGAGTTTCGAAGTCGTGAGTTGAGATTGATCACGAGTTATCGATTCATCACTGGGCGGAAGCCAGCAGAGGCTTAATTAAGGCAGATACGCTGGTTGTATCTGATGAGAGAGCATGGAAAGAGCTTTTAGATTACGAAGCATGGATAGCTAAGCGGGCGTTTGGATATAGGAGGAAATTGACTTACCCTTGATGACTTGGACGGTATGAGTCTCTGTGTATAACTATGGGATGACTGCTGTCTATGATGTTAAGCTTCAAGCTGCGAACACAGATGGTCTTAACCCTATAGGCAGCAGTTAACTACATAGTCATATACAAAAGCTCAACCCCTCCAAGTCATTGAACTTTGTTGTTTTATTGCTACGAGACCTGAGGACAAGCAGTGATTTGGACTACAGACAATGGTCCTGTAGTAATGTTTGAGCCTAGAATCAATTTGATCTTGACTGATCTTCCCTCACAGCTCAGAAGGTTGGTTAAGAGCGTGAGATATCAACTTCTTGTACCCCTCAATAGCCTGCTCCAAATCCGAAACCTTCAAGTGCTCATGCGCAGAGTGCGCCTCGAGAATCGAGCCAGGTCCGTAAAGATATTTCTTATGACCTCCATTTAGCCTCGGGATATCTGTTCCGTAGTTCAACACTACAGTCTCAAAGCCTATCCGATGTCAGTCACAGTTTCATAGCCTTATATCCTTACTTACCGTCAACATCGTAGTCTGTAGGTACTGGTCCAATACCATACAAGAACTCAACAACAAGGCTCGGATCACTCCCCTCAACTACCCGACGAATCAAGTCCCTGATACCCTCTGGAGTTCCACCGGCGACTCTGACTCCCCCGGTGGCATAAGCGCTCGCCGGGATGACATTCCCTGCAACACCACCTTCAATCCTACCCACGTTTAGAGTAGAGTTTCCAAACTCTTTACTCCCAGGTAATTCAACCTTCTGAAGTGCCGCTAATCCACGAACAAGGCTGTCAATCGCATTGCTCCCAGTCTCAGGGTATCCAGAATGACCAGCCTTTCCATTAGCTTTGACGGTGAAGCCTAATCCACCTTTATGACCTCGAGCAAGTTTGAGCTCTGTCGGTTCACCAAAGATAACGGACTCCCAGGATAGGCCTAGATCATTGACATTGCCCATTCCGGGTCCACCCGTCTCTTCGCCCACCACGAACAAAAGGGCAACATCACCTCCACTGACTTTTTTCTTCTCAAATAGTTCCTGAACAGCAATGATCTGTGCCGCGACACTGCCCTTTGCATCGACTGTTCCTCGCCCCCAAATCTCATCACCTCGTCGTTCATAGGGCCAGAAAGGGGGAACAGTGTCAATATGAGACGTCACGAGGACTCTTGTGTTTCTCGTGTTATTATAGTACGCCAAGATATTATCGCGGTTCTTGGCAACTGCTTGAGTCTCAACAGTGAACCCTGCATCTTGGAGGTATGTTTTGAGAAAGTCGGTGACGTGCTTCTCTGAACCAGTGATTGAAGGACGTTCGACGAGTGACTTGTGAAGATCTAGAAGAGGTGACGATGCAAGTGATTCGTGAGAAAAGGGGAGCTGCACGTTTCCCAGGTTGAACGCTGCCGCCGCAGTGGCACTGAAGAGGATGCTGCTGATGAGCTTCATTGTTGATAACAGCCTGCAGATAACAAAGAGGGGTAAAAGATATGAACCCGTCCAAACTGGGCCCCGTGTATCTTGATATAACGTTGATCGTCACAGATTGATAAGCAATCTCGAGAAGCCAATCACTTTCTTTTTTATCGTTACGTAGATGTCACCATTGACGGGCAGTATTTCCTCATCTGCCAAAAGCGGGGAGACTCAAGTTCGGATCCGAGATGGCACCACCTTTTATAGAAATACTCGCATGAGTTTTCGGAGTAGTATCATTTCTTAGATAGTCTTGGAGATAACCGCTGGATGTAACGGGTTGCGCGATTATATCCCCCACGCACGCCAAGATGAGGAATGCCGATCGCGGATGTCGACATATCGCGGGGTGAGGAGTAGGATGGATACACAAGTGAGGGGGCCAAGATTTATATCTTTATGGGTGTACCTTGATAGATTCTGCGAAGGTGAGAGAAGATTATCAAGAAAATGGTTTCTTCTGGTATCTCCAAAGGCCCTGGAGCCTTGGATGAGAAGACTCATCATGTTATTCCCGACTCTTCGTCTGGTGAACCGCCAGTCAAGCAACACTACAACACCGTCACCCGCGGAGAGTCTATCCCCACTTCAGGCGATATAGACGATAACATTGTCGGTTATGATGGGACGCTTATGGGAGCGCGGACTAGGTTGAGTAGTCAGCAGGAGAAGAAGTTGCTGCGACGAATTGATTGGCATCTCATTCCTTTGCTTTCGGTCATGTATATGGTCAAGTCAATTGATGCTTCCAACGTGAGTGCAGTACTATATTTGGTGTTGTGGTGCTAATGTAGCAGGTTTCGAATGCGCGGATCATGGATCGTGGAACGCCGAGGAATATCATGACAGAGCTGAACATCTCAGCTGATGACTACAACTTTGTCACTATGGCATACTACGTCTGTCTGCAAGCCTAGATCGTATGACTATCACTGATTAGCTTTCAGATCCCGTATATCCTGGCAGAGACACCTTCAAACCTTTTGGTAAAGCGACTCAAGCCATCTGTTTGGCAAGCAAGAATCATGGTTGGTCTCTCCATCTTGTCACTGGTTAGCCCGTCTCACTGTCTGAACAGATATCCTGGGGCATAGTTCTCGTCTGTCACGCTGCAGTGACGAATGCCGCTGGATTGTATACAGTCCGCGCTTTTCTTGGTCTCTTCGAGGCAGGACTCTGGCCTGGTATGCTTCTGCAGTTATGCTACTGGTATCGCCCCGATGAAATGGCATCGCGCATCGTTCTTGTCACTATCCTCGGTAATTTTAGTGCTGTCGTTAGCGGTGTTCTTGCCTTTGCATTCAACGGTGTCCATGCGCAGGGCTTATCGGGATGGAAATGGTATGCACCCAACAACATGTCTCTCGGCTCGACTGACTCAACTCTCAGGCTCATCTTAACTGAGGGAGTATTCACAATACTTCTTGGTATCTATGCATATATCTTCATGCCTGACTGTGAGTTCACACCACTGACACAGCGCCACATACTGACATTGGAAACAGTCCCGGATACAGCTCGTTGGATGTCCGAAGAAGAAAAGGCATTTGTACAAGCTAGACTTCCCATCAACGCCCCTAGAGCGGCTGAGAAGGACTTCGACTGGCAAGAATTCTGGCATACTCTTAAAGATCACAAACTCTGGCTGTTTCTTCTCTGCTGGGCATTTTATACCATCGGAACGACGGGGCTCAACTTTTATCAGCCGACGGTCATTGCGAACTTGGGATTCACGTAAGTCTACACAAAGGTGTTTAGAAGTGTAGCTATAGCTGACATTAGTTTATCGCAGTGGTATCGCGGAAGCCCAGCTGCTTAATATCCCTCCAGCCATCTTTGCCTGTGTGCTCACCATAGTGTTTGGATGGGTCGCCAACACCGGCCGTTTTCCTTTACCTCTGATTCCCTTAAGTTTCATGATAATCATAGAAGCTTGCTACGTTGTTCTATACACCTTCCCCAACACAGGCGGTGTGTATGCAGCTACTGTAATAGCAGGAGGTTTCTCAATTGCCTGGTAAGTCAAACCAAACCCCTCTTCGACATTTCCTAACAGACAAGGTACACAATGATGTGGCCATGGAGAGTCCAAACCACAGACGGAGCAACCGGTTCAGCCTTTGCCATTGCGTTTGCCAATAGCTACGGCCAGATTGGAGGCGCAGTTGGATCACAGCTGTTCAATTCGCGCTTTGCACCGAGGTATACTACATCTTTTGGGATCGCGATGGGATTTATTGGTATGGCTATTATCATGAATGTGATCACTTGGTCGTTCACTTGGAAAGTGGATGTTGCGACGAGACGGCTTAAGAGGGCGAGAGATGCTGCTGCGAAGAGGAATGAGGCTATTTTGGATGATGTTGATATTCATGCCAAGACTTAGGCTCTGATATCGACATGTCCCGGTTCACCTCTGCTCATGAGTGGCAATATCAAGGAAGCCAGTTTGCAATCATGATTTTATTAGCCTGTTTATGTTCAAATAACTCTTATTTGCATCGTTACACGAGACTCTTCTCAAAAACACGATACTCTGTCGGTCCAGCAAGCAAGTTGACCAAATCAGGATAATCAACCGCAAAATCTCCCAACTTCACAAGCTCATACCCCATCCTCGTATACCACCCCAACAACCTCGCCTTTCCCTCATGATGAAATGTCATTGGCACAAGAATCTCAAGCTGCATCGTCGTACACCCTCTTCGTCTGCATTCATCCTCCGCAAAGACTGCTAATTGTCGCCCTGCGCCAGTGCCTTGGTACTGTGGATCGAGTGCCAACATGCCGAACTCTCCGAGAGTGGAGGTCATGAGTTTGATGAAAACGCAGCCGATGGGCTCGTCATTTGGCTGCAGGTACGCTACCGCGAGTTGGCCGTTGCTTAGAAATTTGGTGATCTCGGCGGTGGTTGTTCGTTGGTATGATGGAATGAAGATATCTGACTCGGCCTTCATGTAGGCGGTGTTGACGATGTCAGTTAGGGTTGAGACGAGGGTTTTATCCTCCGCATCGGAGGTTGGAGGTATTTTGACGATGATTTGCGGCTTTGTCATGTTGGATTTTGAAGTTGATTGTAACGCCTGTCCGATAAAGGAAGAATGCAGGAGCTTATAAGGCTTCGGCAGTTGTAGTGAGAACTATAATCTCACATGTCAGACTTTGTCTCACGTAAAACAGCGCAGGTGGAGAATTCCGCTTTGGCGGCCCGTATGATATTACGCTTTTGGGGAATTCTGTACGGCAGCTGAATGCTAGCTCTTTAAGAACAAGAGTCCTGATAAATGTTCTAACCTCTTATTACTTTTAAATACCAGTAGAATGGCCATAATTAAACCCAAAATCAACAGTTCCTCCGGTACCACCATTGTTCCTTACATAGCAATTAGCGCTTGGTTCATACTCAAGGTAGCAGACATCCTGACTCCAAATTCCCGAGATCGGATGAATCGAGAGATATGACCAGATGAAAAGCTCGAGGTATAGATGTTTTCATGTTTCTTGCTTCCTCCCGTCTGGGATAGTCGGACCTATGCGACCAATGGTTTCCAATATGTCTCTCTGGTGGGCGATCCCTACTGTTCACAAAGCATGAAGCACAGTGACCTGAGGTCATCTCCGTTACAAATGCTGACCTTCACTTTGCTCTTGCAATATCATCCACGACAAAATTTCTTCTCTAGAATGGCTGCTAAATTTATGCGCCGTCGAAAAAGCCACCGACAGGAATATCATCACTGACGATACAAGTCTGGAGCATCAGCTCCCACCAAGCGAAGACCCATGGTATTCTGCGCCCGATGGCTGGAGAATTAGACAACCCGGCGATGTCCTCCGCATTCGTTCCGCACCAAACCTCACCAGAATCGTGGATGGCGCCATAGCTGTATATCACATCCTTTACCGCTCAACAGACTCACGGGGTCATACATCATGGGCTGTCGCTACGCTCTTCATTCCAACTTCGCTGTACCAATCTCCATCCGGAAAAGCAGCTATTCTCTCATATCAGTTCGCGTACAACACATGCAACGTCGACTCCAGCCCTTCATACGCTTTGTCTGGAGTGATGGCGAAAAGCGAACCGAATCTTGGTATTAAATCAAGCACTTCTTTGATCACTGAGATGCTCTCTTTTGGGTGGATCGTCAACACTCCAGATCACCTTGGACCGAACGCTGCATTTGGCGCAAGTGTACAGGCAGGCCATGCGACTCTCGACGCCTTACACGCTGTTCATAATCTTCTTAGTTTGGGGGATAATTCAGGCTTCAGCACTGCGACATGGGGATACAGCGGTGGCTCAATCGCGACGTTCTCCGCGGCCGAGTTGCAGCCATCCTATGCGCCAAAGCTCAATATCTCAGCAGCTGTTGTAAGTGGTCTCGTGGATGACATATCCGCCGCACTGGACAAGATTAACAAAAGCCCTATCGCTGGGACTCTGATTGCCCTCTTGCTAGGAATTATAGCGCATTATCCTGAAGAACGAGCTTACCTAGAAACTCGTCTTTTACCGGGGAAGAAGGACGAGTTTATGTCAGTCGTGAACACCGAGGTTACTCAAAATGTGGGCAAATACTCCGGGCAGGACATTTACGCGTTCTTCAAGGGTGGAGGTGCGGATCTAAGAGCTCCGATTTTACAAGAACTCTACGATAAGCAAGCAAAGCTGGGATACAGAGATACGCCCAAGATGCCCATATTTCTGTACAAGGCTATACAGGATCAGTTCTGCACTATAGACCTTACCGATGCGACGGTTGATAGACTCTGTGAGAAAGGAGCGGAGATTACCTTTGAGAGGAATACAGTGGGGAGTCATGTCTCTGAGATTGAGAACGGAAAGCCAAGAGCGTTTGGGTTTCTGCGGAGTATCTTTGATGAGTCATACGAGTCTCCTGCATGGAAGCGGAATGTGTTGAATGTCACGGTTGATATGTCTTTGCAGAATAAGTGAGCATGTTTATATAACGGTCGTCATCTATATCAAATCTCATGAAGGTGCAATCCTTCCCTTTTCCATAGGCAAATCCGTCCCCCTCCAAACCCTTACATCCTCTCCAGGTTCACATGTTCTTGCAACCCAATTCTCGACTCTTTCAACACCCCACATAATCGTGAAGAGATTGATCAGCATCGGATCTACATCTGATGCCTTTGCACTCAGGAAAAGACCCTCGCAGTCTAAACTACATATGAAAAGAGGATCTGCTTTCCGACATTCTGCTGCCCATGCAAAACCGGTTTTGGCTTCCCATAAGTCTTTATGAGCTGTGAAGCAAATGCCACCGTGACATTCAGCCCATTTCTGTTTAAGTGTGAGGTATACTCCAATGGTGGATGTTGCCATCAGCCATATGCGACGGATACTCTCTGACAAAACCCAAGAGCGCCATTTACGAGGCAGTGGATCACCGTCAAATATGGAGTCCAGAATGATACTGTTGGCAGAGGCTGCAGCTGATGAGCTATCGCCACCATCGCATGGCAGGCCGATATCCGGATCACGAAGAGCGGCTTCCCAGAGTTGACGCGTCCATGAAAGGAGAGTTTGTATCTGTTGCTCAGCACTGGCTCGCGCACCAATAGAGGGTGAGAAGAGTGCGAGTACAAGATGGACGAATAGAGCTTGTGTTCGAGAGAGGTGCTCACGAATGCCAAGCGTCGCTTCAGGACCAGCGAGGTCAGGGCAATATGCTTTGAGTAACGCTGCTGCTTTCGATGTTAGTAATTCATCTATCACCGTCTCATTTGCGGGTGTTTTGGAGTTGTGAAGGATGATACAGGTGAAGGCATCTTGAATTGCTGGTGGGAGCCCAGCATCGGCGTAGAGCTGGTTGTGTATGAACGGGCTATGCGAATTTGTAACCCACTCTGTGAAGAACTCGTGAATTCCGTGGACATAGTTCATGCAGACAGAGTTGGGAAAGGATGGGGTAGTGAAGGGAATATGCCGAATGGCCCACGCGTCAGGTCTGAGGAAGAAGTCGACAGCATCCTTCTGGCTCGAGATTGTCTCGCTGCTGGTTGCGGGTGAGTCGTCTGGCAGCTCAGCAGCGGGTAGAGCGTCCCAATTACTCAAACTGGCTGCCCACTGATTAAGGTCAATCAAGCCATTGTTTGGTGTTGAGAAAGGGATTTGCATCAGACTCGGTGGCCCAACACTGAGCCTGTCCTGACTCTGTCCGCCATTTTCCGCTCCTGGTGCTGACGAGTGCAGCCTCTTCCGTTTGGTAGGTGGATATCGGCACTCAACGTCTCGATCATTACAGCGCCCGCAAACAGGTTGAGCTTTGTCACATTTCCGCTTTCCGTTGGTGCACGCGTAGCACGCTTTGAGCTTTGTTGCAGAACCCATTCTGATTATGTTGTTGCGGAAGGATTGCGGGTTTCTGTTGTTGGCTGCGGGCGAGTTTTAGAGCGGTAAAAATAACGTTAGCGACCTTTGTCAGCTGCCACGCGGAAATTCTGCGGGGTTTTGGTGGAATACCATCCGAGATAAGCTTATCGCTTTCTATGCGAAGCCTGGAAATTTAGCGCTTTCGGAGCAGCAGGCGGGTTTCTGGCGGGTTTCAATAGATTCATCCGCAGGCTTCCGATACGTCAAGATTATGTTATGCTCCTTGTCGTGGCACATAGAACTAGTTAAAATCTCTTATATAAAATATAAATGCCCGATTCTTATAAGTTTTGCATTGACATTATAATCAACATATCACTTTCACCATACAAATACCGTACAACAATCTTCCAATATGCCTTCCACAGCAGAGACAAGGCCCGAGGAAAACCCCTGGGAGAATGCCGAGGCACCTACCAATGGCAGCAGCCTCGTTACCAAAATTCATCGCGAGTCATACGAAGCAATCTCGCCATCTCGTCCTGAGCTCTCACAGGCTGGCCATACTGTTCTCGTCGCTGGAGCCTCTACTGGAATTGGCTTCAGCATCGCCGAGTCCTTCGCCGCAGCCTCTGCGACCCGTCTCATCATCACAGGCCGACGCAAAAATACATTGGACAAAGCTGCTGACAAGATCAAGACGAAGTACTCCAACGTTGAGGTTATCCCGATTATCAATGACTTTTCCAATGAGAATGCCACGCGAGAGTTCTGGAAGAAACTCGCCGAAGATGGTGTCTTTGTTGATGTTCTCGTTTTGAGTGCCGCGAAAATGTGGCTGCCCAACACTATTCTTGGACTCGGATATGAGACCTTCAAGGATGGTCTTGGAGTGAACTTTACTGCTCCATATCTGTGGACAAGTTTGTTTTATAAGCAGCGAGAAATCGACCCTTCGCGAAAGCTGGTAAGTCCATAAGCGCTTAAGACATTTGTCGTTCTATAATCTTACACCGATCAGGTTCTCCTCAACTTATCCAGCATTGTAATTCACGATACCAAGATGTCTGTTCCCGTTCCTCTATACTCAACCACTAAGAGCGCTGGAACAATGATGATGCAGCACATCGCCATGACCGTCCCGTCCAGTGAGATGCAGGTCATTAGTTTCGAGCCGGGACTTCACTACACTGAATCGTTCGAGCGTTTCACTGATGAAAACAGTTTCAAGTGGGATGACAGTATGTATTGACCCTCAGAAGCTTTTCCCATACTGACGAAAATGTAGTCAAATTGCCTGGCGATTTTGCTGTTTGGGCGGCGTCTGAAGAGGCCGAGTTCCTACATGGGCGTTTTATCTGGGCGAAATGGGATATCGATGAACTCAAGAATGGACCCCTCCGGAAGAAGATCGAAAGTGACGCTTCGCTTTTCAGAGTTGGCGTCAAGGGATATTAAGGCAGAAGTGGTTTATCTAGTGAACTTTGGAAAGTGTTTTGAAGCGTGGGAATCGCTGGCCTTGATAATGTGTTGGTAAACTAGAATGAGTGTATTGAAATAGTCTTACTTAACAGTATCCAAACCAGCCAAGACCGTCTGGGTAGTTATTATCTCCCAGCCTCAGGTCTCCAAGAGGAGTGACGGGTATTGCAACACGGGCAGTACTGCAATTGGTAAGGCTCCTCGAACTCAGGAAAGCCTAATAAAAAGACGCGTCTGCACGTTCTGCACTTATATTCCCTGACCCTTTCACACGTCCTATTTGTAAATCGAATAATGTCAGCAGCGATCTCTGGATTATCGCGCATCTTTCCACAGAACGTGTCTTGGGTCATCAGCTTGCCAAGCCTCTTGAATATAATCTCCACAGCAATATCACGTAATCCCCTATCCCCCGGTGGCGTAGTTGTATACGCCAGTTCGATTGCTTCTGGAAAGCAATCCATCTCCCATCCCGCTTCAACACTGGTGCGATACTTCATCGCAGCGAGTCTCTTCAACGCCTCTATGTCATATTTATCAGCGATTTGATACACTTTGGCATGGAACATCATAGCTGATGAATCGGCGGGGGACTCGTAATCAAAACAGTAGAGGAAAAGTGTCATTGCCTTGACAACAGCGGGGTCGAAATCCATAATTTCTATCACTCGCTCAGAACTCTCCTGTGGCTTGTTAGCTTTGGTTCACTTTCACGGAAAAGAGGTGCTTCTCAAACCTTCCACGGCCCATCGAGCTGCTTTTTGAAGTATTCGGAGTGGCAAAAAAGGATGAGACTGTGGACTGCAAAACACCGACCTCCGCATTTAATGACCGCGTCTGAAAGGCTTGTATTGTTGAAATACCTGTTCTGTCAACAACAGTACATCGGACTGGTGATATGAAAACATACTTCTTCAAACATGCGCCAAACTCTTCATGTGGCGGTGACTGCATCTCTGTGCTAGGGGACAGTTTGACTCTGATGTATCCGGGGCGGAATAGTTGGTGCAAGTCAAGAAAAGAAGAAGGAAATGAGGGGGAGGGGACAGCGGAACGCTTTTCATTCTTATTTCGAGGCATAATGGTAAGCCTCCCGCAGAAATTTCAGCCACAAGTTGAGGTCGCTGCGGGGTCACTGATCAACTCGACATTTCATGCGACAAAAGGATCTACTTCATTGAAAACTGAACGGGCTATACTTTGGCTAAGCAGAATAATCACCAATGCTCTGGGAGATGTAAATAAACCGAACTGCCACGTAAGACCTACAGGAAAAGCAAGATAATATTCTGTGTTGCCACTAAGTGCATATAGGATTCGCCCAGGTTTATAGACGCCGCGATTTGTAACCAATGTATTTATCAAATCTTGTATCTATTTCTCATCCGGTGAATAATCAAATGCGCAACATCATCTTGACCATTCAATCTGTACTTGTTCCTCATGCTATTGCAATAAATCCATGAAACGCCGTCCGTCCCCTTGCTTCACAACACTGTTTGGATCCTGTCTGAAATAGTAAAGCCATCCCTCGAGTGAATACGACGGCTGCGGTCCCCAAGCACAGACCGGACAGCGAACTGGACATGGACCGCACAAGAAACTGGCATTATCAGCCAGAGAATCTATTCTCATTGTGAACTTAGTCTTGCACATATAACAGCTGCATGTGTGGATTTCTCCTTGGCCTGATCGAGACGTTATAGCCTTTAACTATCGACCAATCAGTAATTGTCTCTCTAATTCTCATACGCGGAACTGACAAGGTCGGTTGAAAAGTCACCATTCATGGGTAGACTCTCCTTGAATGACTCGATGGTGATTAGCTGGCGAAGCCTCCAGTAAGAGCTATTCATGACGATATCTCGGAGGCCTCGGTCTTCTGGTGGCGTAGTGGTGTACACCGTGGTGACCGCATCCGCTAAATCACTCGCGTACTCAGTGGTCACTTCGGCACTCTCAACAACGCGTTTGAAGTTGTTTAGAGCTTGCTTTTTGAGTGTTTCGATGCCATATTTATCCCCTATCTGGTAGACCTTGGCGTGGAAGATCATAGGGGGCGTGTTGGGAGGGACGTGGTAGTCGAAAGAATAAACAAAACGAAGCATAGCCTCCACAATATTTGCCTCAAAGTCTGTGATCTCTATGATCTTGTCTTGGCTCTCCTTCATTCGGTCAGCCTGTGTTGCCAGTTGGGATACGATGACTCACCTTCCACGGTCCAGTCAGCTGCTTTTTGAAGTAGTCGGAGTGACAAAAAATGACGAGGCTGTGGACTGCGAATTCCTGGCCCTCACATCGAATCACGACGTCTGAAAGGCATTTGTTGTTGTAGTATCTGCACGCGTTAGTGAGTCAGTCAATACAGTACAGAGCGGAACCAGCATATACTCTTGCAGGGAGGTGCCGAACGCTTCGATAGGCTTGGGATCCATTGTTGGCGGGAAATAAGCGACTGAGTGTTTTGGGGGGGAGGGGGTCCTTCGGGTTAGCTGGTAACTGTAATATTTATATTCTTTTGATTGGTATGACGCGAAAGGCTAATCCATGGCGATGGTGTATGATTCCGGATATTAAATTCATGAGGTCAATATTGCAGGTCCGATAGTCCTGGCGACAAAGATCCAAATAGTCAACTCTAAGTGGTACAATGCACTGCATTTCTCGGTCTCTGGCCAAACAGCCTTTCGAGTGAACAAAGTCAAAATGGTACGGCATATTTGTACCAGGATGATTGGCAATTTCAGGACAAAGTTTAAAATCGAGTTGACCGTGACTGTGATAAGGTTGAGGGGTCAAAAAAGGCTTCAGCTTCCACGCCACAAAGGTAAAGAACACCAAAAAAACACATACGGGCAAAATACTCGTCGCCCTCACTGTTGTGAGATTGTTACAGAGATCTCCTCGCCGAGAGAACCGGACCCAGTGCAATCTTCATTGTCGATAAAGTTGCTACACTCCTGCAAATAATGCACCATTCTTAGTCCAAGCACTGAGCGTGGCAGTCCGCAACTGGAATTATCGAGATCACAGTCCTTTACCAGGGCCATTTTGACGTAAGTTTACTCTTTTTGTTCTTTCATCACGTCTGCTGTGTTCCTTCGCGGATCCAAAAAGGAGGTGTGAAGCGATGATCCGTGATTGGAGTTACAGCCGCCGCCTAACGCCTTGGCCCCTGACTGCCGACAAGGCGAAAAGCTTCTGTGTAATAGTGAGCAGTGCTTGGATAAATCGGCAGATCATCACTTGGCAGCTGTGGTCGCCGCTTATCTGCAATCAAACGGGTGGAGCCCGACGTCCCGAGAGTAAGCTGCCAAGTATGGGGGCCAAGACTTCAGGAGAAAGCTTCGAGAAGATCATAGAGCAAGCTATTGCTGACTAGTATGTAAAAGTCTCAACTTTATGCGCTTAATGTAGAAGTGGCGCCTTATTCTTGCTACGATGAAGGTATCCACGGCGCAGATGAGCCCGCTATTCACAATCGAAGTTTTGCGAGGTTGGTGGGCAACCTCTTGTGTAACCATTATGCTTACTGACTGCATTACTACTTATTGTTTCAGCTACAGCCATGGAGATCATACCGCTTATCATTAGTTTCGTCTTTACTGTCCGAAGCTGTTTACTGGCTGTTAATGTGGACATTGTTGGACTTGGCGAGCCGGGAAGATGCATGCTCATGTTTCGTCTTGTCTTTTGTCGTGAGATTTACTCCTCAGCTTCGGTGATCCTGAGTCCTTGGCGGCTTATGGGATGATCCTCACTATATGGGATAAGACAGCTGAGAGAATCGAGTGTCTAATGATGACTATAAAGCCCAGAGCAGAGCGCCTCGATCTAAGCATCGCTCTCAACATCAACCACATTCATTCACTCATTCTTCTTTCCAATCTCTAACGCTAATCATCAACACTATTCATCATGCTCTTTCAGAGCCTTCTCTCCTCTTCCCTTCTCCTGGCTATCGCCCATGCTGGTCCAACTGCCTCTAGCCAAGGTCTCGCCAAGCGTGATGGTTTCCCCGTCTGCGACGACACTTCCAGGACTTACGAAGGTCCCTACACCGACGGCGAAGGAACATACGTGACTTCCGACCGAACTACTCATCCCTACAAATTCCCCAAGGTCCGCAAATGCTGGTACGACTACTTCGTCCTCGAGACCTCCAAGGAGTATACCCCATGGCAGAAAGCCTCCGGCAACATCTACTGCACCGGCACCCAAGTCTGCACTGCCACCAAGCTCGTCGGCAACGAAGTCTGCCAGGAGCGCTCTGAGAGTATCAGTGTCAGCGTTGGTGCTGAGATCGAGGGTTTCAGCCTTGGTCTTGACTTCACTACCACCGACACCGAGTCCAAGTGTGTTCAGGCTCAGGACCTGACTGCTTGTACTTGGGATGATGGCGCTTGCCATACTGTTTGGACCCAGCAGGAGGTCATGAGACAGAAGGGATATCGTCGACAGAGATGTAACTGGGGTAATGGAGATGAGACCCAGTGTATGGATAACTGGGAGCAGACTACACCTTCTGACTTTATCAGCTATGGTTGCGGATCCAAGTGCACTGATACTAATGATTGCGGTAACACTGATGGCAAGCCTTGCTCCAAGTAAACTTTGAGTAATGGGTTCTGCGGAGGGCTCAAGGGCGATTTTTCTTTCTTTTCATCATCTTGATGATGTATTCACTTAGTGGATTCTGGATGGCTTCTGGACATGTAATAGTTTCGGATAAATAGAAATGGCTAGCTAGCTAGAACATAGATACACCTGCATGCAATCAAATCTTGGATAGCGGCAAAATCTGAAGATCATCCCGGCTCAAGTCCCTTACACTTTTCTTCCCAGCATTAGCAAGCATATTATCCATATCCGCCAACAAGCACTTCAAAACATGCTCCACGCCTTCCTGTCCACCTGCAGCAAGACCATAAGCATACGGCCTTCCAATGCAGACCGCCTTTGCACCAAGGGCCAATGCCTTCAATACATCTGAGCCAGTTCGGACACCGCTGTCAAACATGATGGTCAGATCTGAGTCTTTGACCTTCTTGTCCGCAGCGATATCCGCCAGTGCATCGAGTGATGCTATGGCGCCGTCTAGTTGGCGGCCGCCGTGGTTGGAGACGATGATGCCATCAATGCCGTGCTCAATGGCAAGATGGGCGTCCTCGACTGTCTGGATTCCTTTGAGAACAATTGGTCCGTCCCAGAGATCCTTCAAGATTTCCAGGTCGGCCCAAGAACGATATGTGCCGGAGTTGATCACGTCAATCCAAGCTTTTGACTTGATCATTGTCTTTGCATTAGCGAGGACCCTTGCGGCGCCGTACACAGTCCCAGGCCGTCTCATAATCGTCCAAAGCTCCGAAAACTTCTCAGCAATACTTCGCGAGTCATTCTTCTGCATCTCATCGAACAACTTGTTGAAGACAGGATCCGAAAAACCAATTTGGCAGCCTTGCCCCCAGATGAACGGCAAATACGACGTGTCGAGGTCTGTAGGTCTCCAGCCGAGTGAGAAAGTGTCCAGCGTGACGACGAGGACCTTGTAGCCTGAAGCTTTTGCGCGCGCGAGAAGACTGGCCGTGACGTCCTCGAATTGCGGCTTTGGCCAGTACAGCTGATACCACCGATCGCCATCTGCATTCGCCGCAGCGACCTCCTCAATTGTGCGCGTTGCAGCAGTCGATAGAATCATCGGCATGCCGACGTTATGGCACGCTCTCGCCGTAGCCTCCTCCGCATCAGGGTGCAAAATGCTCTGCACACCAATAGGCGCTACAAGCAGCGGACTCTTGTACTTTTCACCGAACAGCTCAACATCAACATCGCGCCTGGTGACATCAACGAGAAAGCGCGGCTTGAGGCGGTATCGGCTGAACGCCTCGCTATTCGCTTTCGCAGTAGCAGCACTACTTGCTGAACCGTAGACATAGCCAAAATTGGTGGCGGGGATCTTTTCCTTGGCTAGCGACTCCCATTCTGTGGGGTTTGTTGAGAAGATCGGTGGGCGGAAGGATTGGTAGATGTCGCGCTGGAAGTTGGAGAAGCTGGTCGGGTCTGGGATTGAGAATGGTTGGCTCAGCCTCTTTGGTTCAACTTCATCTGCCATTTTGAGGTTTCGTGTGAGTAATGTTCGATTGACGGGTTAATTTGATGAATTTGGGGAGTGTCTGAAAGTATGTTGAGGTGAGTGAGACGCGCCTCGGATCTTCCCTAGTCTTTTCTCCTCACCTAAAACGTGCCGAGGTTGCCGATCCTTCAATCCTTCGCTAGAACGTCATGTTACATTTTGCGGGGATCCCATGCCAGTAACATTCCGTAAGATCAGCATTTATCAAAACAGAATCTCTTATTATTAACATTGATAGGCTTGGCGTGTATTGAACCGCACGGCCACTGTTGTAGTAACCACTATATTGATCTCAGACAGAATATTCAATTTCTACAATGTAGTATCTCTGACCTCATACTGTCATCAGCATAGCCTCATCTATGGACTTCCTGAAGTCTAACACGGACCCTAGATCACATTTGGTGATGCTTCCCAACCTCCAATCATTTCATCCTCGCTAAGTAGTCGAGAATCTCTTGAGCAGCCATTTGCCGACCTTTCCATTCCGGATGACGACTCGCAATCTCCCCTGCCGTCTTTCGCATCCCCGCGGACTCCGGTCCAAACAGAATGTCCAACAACGCCCCCTCGAGCTCATCCTCTTTCCATCGAGGCTTTGCTTCCTTGTTGGCCCAACGCCCAATACTGAGCAGCTCAACGCGGTTCGCAAAATCATAACAGTCTGTCCAAGCAGGTAGAAGCGCCTGAGGTATGCCAGCACTAGCGATATTGTTAGACGCTGTGTACATTATCGGGGATGGACTCACCATAACGCTTCATAGAAGGAGTTAGCTCCCCCGTGACTTACAGAACAAACTATACTCTGCGATTCGAGGACAGATTTTGGCTCAGCTACGAGCCAGTCTGTGATACGGACTCTGTCTCGTTTTATGTAAGTCTGTAGTTCATCGGTCACCAAGGCCCATTCGCCAGTATAAGAGTCTCTTTTTGGAGCGTTCCCTTCTTCGTCAGGTACGCGTCCCAGCTTCCACAAAATTTGAAGGGGCTTCCCCGCAGGCTGCATTGTATCAGCGTGTTCGAGAACCTTTTTGAAGGCTTTAGACATTTCATGAGCTTCAGTGGGATTCGATCTGTGATGCGTGCCCAGGTTGGCGTATACAGTTGGACCTTGGCTAAGCCATGCTCCTAAGTCTGCATCAACTTCCTGGATGGGTGGGGCAGCTCGAATGATGGGACCGCATGATGTGAGCTGTGGGGGAATGATGCTGAACGGGTAGTCTATATCAGGACTACTAGCCACAAGGATGGGAAGATTTGGTGGTGCCGGCTTCAATACCCCCAGCTCCATCATCGTCATCAAAGCTATGGAAGTATCGACCTCCTTGCGGAGTATCTCAGTTGTTCTTTTCAGTCTGGTATCTGTGAGTAGAGTGTAGCCAGCCACAAACCCAAAACAGATATTCCATGGGATGAGGCTCCATGGTATAGGATAAGGCAAGGCCGAGCAAGCACTACTGGAGTCAGTCATGTTTTTCCCGCCTGTTGTTGGGGAATCACTTGCATTGGGTACTTCCACAGAGCAGCGAGCTTTGGTTGCACCGGAACTGCAAATTCCTTGATCGTATTCGGCGAAAGTACCATCCACTTTACACTTCGGTGGTGACAGAAGGTCAATCCTTGGGTGAACAGCGGTTCAACGATCGTCAGATCAGGCTTGACCTCGTCGAAAACTCGTTCTGTTTCCTTGTAAATATCAAGAAACTCTTTTGGGCTCCAGGGTATCATGACAGCTGGGAGAATAACGACGCCTTTTGCTGAGTTGACGAGTCCCGGGGTCAGCTCGAGTGTTTCGAAAATTGCCGTTTCTGGACGCTTAGTAGCCGGTCCCCAGCTCGTTCCTTCAATCTCGTGGAACACGAACGGTCGAGGTATCTTCTTCTTCTTCTGTTGAGCTGCGGTTGTTTGCATGAATCTTGAGGCATAATCAACTCCGCTTCTTAGATCCTGGAATGAGGCGATATGAATTTCGACATTTTCAAAGGTAAGACTAAGTTCGTGAGCGGTAGCGAGGACTACGTTGGCTTGGCCGAAGTCACTATTAGTGAACAGCAACAGGCGTTTGCAATCCGTCATTGTGATCGGTCACAAGTGGCTTTGAATACGAGAAATGTCGGCATGAGGGAACAAAAGGCTTTTCCGCCTCTAAATACCGACTTTGAAAGGCATAGGGCTGAACTGGACATGACATGATCAAGGATATGGCCTGCACGTCAGCCACGCCCTAACTTTAAGCATAGATAGCATAAAGAACTGTGCCTCTCTGACTCAACATTACTAAATCTTCAATAGTTTTTCGTTTAGCCGCAAAATGCGTCTTATGGTCGCAGCTGTAGTGGAGTATGGTGAGATTTTTGCGAGAATATGCTTACTGTTTTGGGGCATTTCTTTCATTTTACCCTGCAGCCGTGAGAGCTGAGCCTCCTGAACCTATGGCAGCAGTCCTTGGCAATGAACTTACTTCCCCAAGTGACAAGTTGCCCGCTGACATTCTTAGTCGAATCAAGGGTCATTAGCACATGAGTGAGATGTGTGTGCTGCATATGGATTGGGCCAGTTTCACCCAATTGAGACGTAATTCATGAGGTCTGTGAAACCACCCCGCAAAAATTGCGCGACAGCTGTGATGTTTATTTGGTTCAATAACTAATACCGGCTTCGTTTGTTAGATCATGAGTCTATTTTTGACTGAATTGTAAAGGCGGATTACGAAAGCGGACAATGGCTCAAAGCCCGTATCGCTTGAGTAAGCCGCCTATGACGTCGTAATTTATAAGCCGTGTCTTCGGTTCTAACCCTCCCACCCGACATCCGACCGTCGGTATAAAGGCTGTGGCAATTCATTCTCACTGGCAAACTGGCAAGCAACACAAATCGTCGCCTTTTGAATTCACTTCTCAAAAATGGCTCAGCGACCGCGATTTGACGTGCCAGACGGCAAAGCAGCCAAAGTCAGCATCATCGACTCCAGCTTGAGACTGTCGGGTATGCCGCTCACTCATCTTATGAAACCGGCTATGAAAGGACTCGATGCGATGCCAACACTGACAACATGGTCGTTTCTTGTTGAGAATTCTTCGGGGAGGAAAGCACTTTTTGATCTGGGTGTTCCGAAGGAGCCGTTGAAGAATTTCTCGCCAAAGTACGCTGAAACAATAAGAAGAAATTCGAATTGGAACGTGGATGTTCCGAAGAATGTTGCAGATATTCTTGCTGAAAATAATGTACAGCCGTCGGAGATTGATAGCGTGATATGGAGGTTCGTAGTACGGAATGTCTGCGTTGTGAGTCAGTTACTGATGTTTACCTAGTCATCACCATTTTGACCATATCGGAGATATCACAACATTTCCTGGGTCAACAGATCTCATCGTTGGGCCAGGATTCAAGGAAGCCTTTTTACCCGGATATCCCGCTGACCCAGACTCTCCTGTGCGTGAAGTAGACTTTGAGTAGGTATTACCATCGAACCCTTCTCTCCGAAGTAACTGACATGCTTGCAGGGGCAGAGAGCTGAGAGAGATCGACTTTGAACTCAAGCCTCTCCAGGTTGGCCCATTTCGCGCCTTTGATTTCTTCGGCGATGGCTCATTCTATCTGCTCGACACGCCAGGCCATGATATTGGCCATTTAGCAGGTCTTGCTCGTACAACTACCAGCCCAGACACCTTCATCTTCATGGGCGGTGATTTGTGCCATCATGGTGGCGAGCTACGTCCATCGCAGTATTTACCGTACCCACCGAATCTTTCAGAGCATTTATCGCCCTCAGAATCTTTCCGTCTTCACCTCGCTCAATGCCCCAGGAGTGTTTTCGACGACATGAACATCGAGCGTGGACGAGCCTCTGGTGAAACGTTCTTTGACCCAGCAATTGGCTTTGATAAGGAACTGGCGATAAAGACGATCAAAGAGGCTCAGAAAGCAGATGCTCAAGACAATGTCTTCTTCGTTTTTGCACATGATACGACCATGTTTGGTGTTATCGATATGTTCCCAAAGCAAGCAAATGGTTGGAAGGAAAAGGGCTGGAAGGAGAAGACTTTTTGGAAATTTTTGAACGACTTTGAAGCTGCGCTGAAGCGTTAGAGTATCTAAGCCCTGCTGGTTGGGGTTGAAGTCAGCATGGTTCTGCTGTAGAACAGCTCATATCGCTATTCCCAACTCCAACCTCCACCACCACTACCAAATGCATACTCGGTAGAACTTTTAAGGAAAAGACAGGAATCTCATCAATAGGCGTCGAACTTTCGCAGCGTCGCAGTGTATGGATCCTCGGAATGAAGCCATCATCTAAGAACTCGGCCGCGTGGCCTAATGGCTAAGGCGCTAGATTTCGGCTTTCGAGCAAATCGAGAAATCTCTAGAGATTCCAGGTTCGACTCCTGGCGTGGTCGACTGTGATTACTTTTTACATGTTCTCTAAAATCGACTACCTTTTTTTTGTTCAAGATAGTGTTTCTTAAGTGCCCTCTTATGCTAAGCTGACTTGCTGGTCTGTCAGGCAGTTATTTCTTATTAACATTTTATATAATAGAAAAGTTTATTACTATTCTAGTTAACACCAGGAGATAGGTTCAGGATCTAAGTATTTATATTACTCGCTGTCCTATATACTATAATAAAGCTTCCTAGGACGTAATCTCACAGTATGCCACACACATCGGGTATCTCCCATATTCACTTATTGGCGATGAATAGCCATATCTACAATAACACACCCCGGCAGCAAAGGTGGAGATTGGATTAGCTGAGCCCTCTTTCTTGTGTCTCTTCATATCCTGCGCAGGTACTGTAGCCTTTGTTGAAGCCTCTGGTTTAGTAGTAGAAACATCACCTTTCTTGTCGCTCTTCTTGGGAGCTTTAGAGGCTGGTTTCGTAGTTGATGCAGTCTTTTTGCTTGTGAGATATGAGTTGAATATCCTTAGAATACTTGTAAATGTATTGGGAAGAAGATGGAGAGAAACCAATACGGGTCGAAGGTATTTATACCTTTTGTGATGCTGTGAATCAGAGTTACAGCAGAAGTGAGCAAGTGCAAAAATGAAGATCTGATGAGACTGGGACTTGAACCCAGGAGGATTGCTCCACCAGGAAATTGGTGTTAAGGTTGACCTTAACCTGGCGCCATAACCAACTCGGCCATCGCACCTAAGCCAGATGGCGGGTCGAAGAGAATCAGTGGCTACAACAGCGCAGCCAGTTTCCCGAGCATTCATGCCCTCTATGATATAAATCTTGCTGTTAATAACACCAACTTCTCAGCTTTAGATACGCGCAGGTGACAATTAAAGTCAAGGTTGACAGCGGTCTGTGACGAAGCAAGTTGCGAACGATATGCATTGGGTTTCAGTACTCTGTGCCATTGCAGAAGTTTCTAGGCAAAACTTTGCATCTCGAATACATGTTGTGTTTCTATTCCATTTGCTGGCTAGCTAAGATTAACCACATCCTTATATGATTCGGTGCTTCTCATGGACCTTGAATGTGATGTTCAACTCATCACACCCGCACTTACAGGGACAGTCAGTCCCCGGCACACTTCATAACCTAATTTCGACGTATCGGCCTTCTTATCGGTCTTAGTGATAGATGCGATGTCTTTCTGCTCTTGTGAGAAACCGGTTTGTCTTTGGATCCAGAATCGGGCTTGTGTGCCTTCTGGGCCTTGGTTGAAGAAGATATTGTGTTAGGAATATGGACAAAAGCTTAGATACAGTCGTCGAGCTTAAATGCCGAAAGTTCTGATTGCTGATAGTGATTTCTCCCGGGGGTGCCCTAAAGCTAGTTATATACTTATCGGGGTATTGCTACTGAGTTACGGAGCATGTTGTTAATGCTGCATCAGAGAGGATACTTGGCCGCAAAAATAGATTACTTCCTATTTGAAGCCAAATGTTAAGTATCGGAGAAGATAAAGGGCTGATTGTCTTTCGGATATTAATATCATTTGCCATTATAGAATCGCCCTCCATTCGCGTGGATAACCTCTCATTAGGGAACTTCTAGGCACGGATAGGCGATTAATGCTTATAATCATGAACAAACAGAAATTCATTACTTCGTATCATCGAAACATCAAGACAGATGCACAACTTGAACAGTCCATCCCACTGAAAATAAGCCGCAAATCCTTACAGTGCTTTCTCAATCTACAGCTCCTCGGTTCCCTCAGTCTCCTCATCTCCCCCAGTCACAGCCTCCTTCTCAGCACCTTGCTTAGAAGACCTCTGAGCATGCACCTCAACAGTGATATGGTCCCCTATTTGCACCTTACCACCATAGCCAGAGGTATACCTGGCACCATCAGCCGCCTGCTTCTTCTTGTCCCAGTTGCTAAAGTCAACAAGGTCATCTACTACAGTTAGCTCAAACCCTTTCACGAATCAAATCAACTCACCTTCGCATGCATCCTTGCCAGGCTCAACTTTACTCCCCGCAAACAAAGGCGCCAACCACGTAACAACACCCGGTGCAAAGAATGCACTCCCATCAATCTCAGCGATGAACTTGCGCTCCATCTGCTTGCCCTCCTTGACAAGCTCCTCATGGTACTTGCGCACCGCCCATGGAAGCTTCTTATAATCCGTGCGCATGACCCTGAATCCATCGGGATGCATGAAACGATCGAAATCCCCAGGGTACGGAAGATCGCGACCGTCGTCTGTCTTCCAATGGTTGTCGAGGAAGTCCATCGCCCAGGCTATTTCCTTAGGTGCGCGCGAAGGATCTTGGACGGTGTAGATCTCAGCTTCGAATTGAGAGCTGACACGACAATCAGTCTTCCAGAGAGATTTCTCGTGCGCGGCGTCTGCGATGCGGATCTGATCCATTAATGCGTGGGCCTTGGCCGTGTTGCCGTTGACTTGAGCTTCAGCTGCTTGGCGCATGATGTCGAGTCTGGCGGTGTCGCCGATCTGAATGTCGATGAGCTGCGCCGTCGCCTGCGAGGCGAGCACAGAGAGGATCGCGTTGGTTGGCTTCATTTTTGTTGGTGGTGATGAGATTGTGAAGTGAAGCGGTGACAGGCTGACAAGGCTGGATGTGAATATTTATTGCAACGGCGCTCGGTGATTTCCTGATGGAGAAATTACCGGTTCAACCGCTGAGCCAATGACTTGTAGTGGGATCAGCTCTTGGTGCCCCGGAGCGGGTTATTGATTTTACTGTTTGATAAGGCTGACACGGACGGCGCTTAGCTTGACTCGAGGTGGCACAGCTCACGATAAGTGTAAGATCAATGCATGTAGTCATGGTGGCACTAATATTAGGCAGTAGTGCCCATGCACGGCCTGAGTCATTGAATAATCTGGTACTTTAATCACCAAAGGGAGAAAATGAATGGTTCACCCCTCGTCCCGCAAACTACCATATCAAATCTGAACATGTCAGATCAATCACCATGCGCGATTCTTCCGGAGTCTATCGAAATTCCCCTCATTACGTCTACAAAACAAGACTCTACACTCAATTACTACGGTCCTGTTTACGACTCACTTGCTACTGAGGCATCCAAATTCCTCGCTCGCAATGCGGATGCAGCAGAGCAAGATTTGGAACCCAAAATCAAGGCGTTCCTAGAAACCACGCAAAACGACTGCTCGGGCAACACCGAAGAGAAAAAGGCATGCTGGCTTACCATCCGCATTACCAAGCCTTGTACCGCATTTAAAATCCCCAGATGGCATCAAGATGGCCCCATGTTTGAGTACGACAAAGGGCGCGAGGATGTCGTGAGGAGCAAGTATGCGCTCACGTTACTCGGACCGTCTACGCTCATGTTGCAGCCGGATGAACATGTCTTCAAGACGCAGCATGAAGCGGAAGCGCTGTATTACTGGTGGCGGAATAAACCTGACGGCCCTGAGCCCTCTGAAGACGAGATGTATGATGCAGACGATCTATTGCGAGAGTCGCTTGGTACTGCATTCAAAGACAGTCCTAGAGTTCAGGTCGGACACGGTCAAATCGTTAGGTTCAGTTGGGGGAGGGATGATAGCCCTGTTCATTCAGAGCCGGATCTTGTTTCTGATAGGGTATTCATGACTGTGCTGTATGGAAGTGAATCGGAATTGCGAACCATGAGTAAGTGGAGAGAGGCGCCATACGGCGAATATTCTGTCGAGTAGCTGTCTCTTGCCACGGGTTTCTCATACTTTGGATTTCAGTGCGGGACGCTCGGGGGATATGAGAAGATAGTAGATGGGTCTCTTATTTCCTAAGTCCCGGTCGTCATCAACTATTCTTCTTCTTGTTTTATGTTGCGCGTGGAATCCAGATGCAACGTCTCAAGAGGCTATATGTGCTTAGAAGAACTACGAATCCTTCTTTCTGGGGGCGTAAGCATGACCTGAATGCCAAGATTGTATATAAGGCGGGGCTGCTGCTGCCTAACAATATCATATCATCGTCCCACAACCTGATTGATTTGATACTAAGAAACGCCTTTCTTCACTAAAACCACTCAAGCACCAAATCCAGCAGCATGAGCTTCCATTCATTGCCGCTTGAACTGGCCGAACATCTGTCGCTGTTCTGCGAGCCCCAAGACCTCTCGCGCCTGTCTCGCGTCAATCACGCGTTTCACGCTATTTTCAACCCGGTCCTCTACAAGCGCAACGCCGCTGCAACTGGTCTACCTCCTTGCTATCCATGGACTCACGAACACGATCCACAGCATTGTTGGGCATGCCCCGCCGACAAGGCCTTTAGGTCATGTCTTCATTGGGCCGTCAATCATGATTCACTCTCCACGATCAAGCTGGCCGTTTCTTATGGCTCTGATGTCAATAAGATCAACGACGTTGCCGATTACATCCCTTATGAAGAAGACCCTGACTCTATTCCCATTTGTGGACCTATCAAACGGGCGCAGCTTGCAACACCACTACATCTTGCTATCTTTCAGAAGCGCTTCGAGATTGTGCGATGGCTTCTTGATAATGGCGCCAGTACGGATATGTGGCCAGACACGCTCTGCAATTGTCGAAAGTATGGAAGAGTGGTAAATAAGTATGAATGGCTGCCACTACACTATGCTGTACGCCACAGCACCCATGAAATCCTTCAGTTGTTACTGGAGCGAGACGTTGTTCACTCAGTGATATGTGATGATGGCAACATCTCTGGGCTTCATTGCGCCATCGCGGAAGGCTCGCTTCCTGCGATTGATGCCTTTATTCAGCATAAGAGTTTCAGTCCTACTGACCGAGACGCTACGGGCCAGACACCACTTCACTGGGTTAAACATTGCAAAGACCAGGGGTCAGCCTGTGAGATAGTTGAGAAGTTAGCCCAATGGGGTGTCCCACTGGATGCGGAAGCTGAATCTCAGTGGGGAGATTGGCATGGCGGCACAGCGCTGAACATGCTTATCGGGAGGAGAAAGTTTGAACCTGCCATTAAGCTCCTGCAGCTTGGAGCCGATCCTACGATACAACAGGACGAGGATGGATGCCTTCACCTGCTGAGCAACTGCATTGATGGCCGTGACAGGGAAGACATGTCCGGGTGTTCGCCGGAACGCGCGGAGAGAAAGAGAGAGGCCGGATTGGAATTACTGAGCCTGCTCATCCAAAAGGGAATTGATCCAGGCAAACCCCGTAAATTGGACAGACCCCATGATCTCGATGATCCCGACCTTGATGACCCAAGACCATTATTGTCAGCACTCCTAATGTCCGACGCGCGATGCCTACAAATTCTTCTCGACGCTGGAGGAATGGCCCGCGAAGCAATCTACGAGAACAAGCATGATAATATCCTCCGAGACTTTTTCGAATTGATGGTGGATGCTGTGCAAGAGGGCACATCTTTTCTAGAAGCGAGAGGCGAGATTGAGTCGCGCAAAGAGGCTCTGTGTTTGCTCCTCAGGGGAGGGGCGCGAATAGACTCGAGAGACGGTGAATACTCAGCGTTGAGCCAGGCGTGTCAGATTGAGCAGGGGGTCGGGATAGTTGACCTTCTGATAGAGAATGCGACTACTAGGAATGTGGAGACGGAATACGTTGTTGCTTTGAGGGATACATATAGGCCAGATAGTCCTGTATGGGGGAAATTGGATTGGTTCTATAAGAAGTTGATGGCTGAGAAGAACCAGGGCGAAGAAATCCAGGGCACCGAGGAATCCGAATGAAAAGACTATACTTATATCGCTATCTGCTGACTCATGTTTATATAGGTATAGAACAAAGTACGGCCAGGGCTCAAGGTCTAAAGTTGCCCTGAGGGAGCAAGAAAACACCAGACCTTAACGTAAGGTGCCAAAATAAACTAAGTAAAGGATATCCTAAGTTTTTACTAAATTTAGGCTTAAGTTATACTAGCTTACCTAAGTCTTTTTGTCATTTAGGGTCGATGTCTTGAGTTTTCTTTCTTCCCATAGGTTGCTAATCTTCTGGGAGAGGCAACATAGACCATACTGAGAATTAGTTGCTCTATCTTCCCCATCGACCTTGGGTCTTGACTAGCCGCAGTTGTGACCACATCTTATCTCTTATGAGTCCTGGGTCTACCGACAAGTTGGCTTCAACATTTGGTGGATTTTCTTGTGAGTCTTCCAAATTGATCTTGATTTCAATCACTGGTGGAATATCTTGCTTAAGCTTTGGCGAATCCTTCACGAAACATCGTGTCATTGCTGGGCACAAGCTTATGAACACCAAAACCGCAACAAAAGAGCTTTTGATCAGAGCGATAAAGCAACTCAAGCAGAGCGTTCAGCTTCAACTATCTTTACAAGGATGAAAGATGTTCGGGTTAAAACTCCCGACAAAATAACAAGCATATTTATTTGCTACAGTCACTAATGCCTTAGCCGCAAAACCCCTGAAATTGTCCTCTCCCGCTATTCTGATTCAGCCCTAGCAGGTCAATTAGTGCCAGGGGTTCTAAGAGGTTATCGATTTTTGGGCTCAATAGCGCTGAAAGCTATTGAGCCCCGAACGTTCCAAGGGTCCACCAATAACGCCCAAAAACACCAAAATCCACTTGGAAATGTCACGATGAGAGAAAGCGATATAGCTTATTCCGCTTTGTCTCTTTACCACCGAGGATTTAGTGAGGAACTGCAGTAGTTATTTGCTAGTTACCGGCTGAATGGAGCGCCTCATGAGGCTATTGAGAATTATCTGAGCGGTCGTTGCCGTAGCTAAATGAGCATCGTCTCAGAGTTTTAGCCATAGCCTTATAATATCACTTCCCCTCTCATACCCGCTACACTCTTGTTTTTTGCTTGTCCTTCTTCTGCCCTTATCCAGTCACTCCTTCACGATGCGTTCCATCCTCGCGTTGGCGGCCCTCGCCGCCGTTGACTTCGTCGCCGGAAGCGCCTGCAAGCCCAGGTCCAGCACCACGATCCCCTCGCTCGTCTCATCCTCCACCGACGCCACTAGCTCATCGACCGCTACGAATGTCGTTACCCTCCCTAAAGTCCGTAACTTGGCCACCAACGGAAACATGGCCGAGATTGATCCCAACAACCCTCTTTCTGTTCCCGACTGGGAGGTTGAAGGCGATGCTCGTATCGTTGGAGGCGCAGGACGTGAAGAGCTTGGAAGTACTGAGCGAGGCTGCGCTGCTATGAGTGCTTCCAATACCGGCGGTGGAAAGCGTGCTTTGGGTATCTCTGTTAGTATTTCGCAGAGCATGTCGAACCTTGATCTCTCGACGCCCTACACCATTCGCTTTTACTACCTCGTCGTTACATCGCCTGCGGCCATCAACCTCTGCCAATTGACAGGGTTTCTCGGCGGTTCCGTCTTCTACCAGAACTGGGTGTTCAGCACTGGTACAGCTGTGTCTTGGAACGAGGTGCTCCAATCCGTGACGCCTGCGCAGGTCAATGCTCCTCTGCGCATCGCCATGAACTGTCTGATGGGTGGTGGAGCGACTGTGCTTGTCGACTCTGTCTTTATCTCCAATGCTGTCACGCCACAGAACATCAACAACTTTGCTGTCAACTTTGGTAACACCGGTACTGGTGCCAATCCCCCTCTTGATCCTCCTGTGGTTGGTCCTCAGACGACAACAACCAGCTCTTCTCAGCAGGAGGTCACATCGGCTACTCAACAGTTAGAGACCACATCTGTTCCCGAAAGCCAAGAGATTACTTCTGCTACCCAAGTGCCAGAGACTACTTCCCTCTCCCAGAAGCAAGAGACCACTTCTGCTGCCCAAGAGAAAGGAACTACATCTGCTTCTCAGAAGCCAGAAACTACGTCTGTTACTCAAAAGCAGGACACTACGTCTGCATCCCAGAAGCAAGAGACTACATCCGACTCTCAAGAGGTTGAGACTACGTCTGCCGCCCCAGTGCAACATACCGAGACAGGAACCACTGGTCAACAGAACCAGGTAACTTCAACCCAGCCTGCTTCTGAACAAACCTCAACAGGCCCCTCCGATATCGAGACTACCAGCAAGCCTGTGTCTCAAGCCCAGTCATCATCAACTGTACCTGTTGTAGGCACAACCAGCACAGCACCCGAGCAGCCATTCTGTTCCAAGGCCCTTAACGGCGGCTGTTGGTGGAAACGTCCTGACAACGGCAATGACATGGTCAACTGTGCCAGCCGTGGTTCTTGGCCTGGTTCCACCGGTCAAGGTCATCTTGTTCCTCGTCCCGACAACTACCCTCTTCCATTGAGTCAGCTTTGGTGCTTGGGCTGGTGCTCCCTCTCACCTGGCTGCAAGTCTGTTGCATTTATCCCGGAGGATCGCTCATGCCGTTTCTCGGAACATCAAGTCCAGGATGCTGACTTCGTTCCCGGCCCCGATCCCAATGTCGACACTGAGGGCGTGTTTTATTGGCATGATCTTTCTTGCTTCAACTGCCCTTGTAACGATGAGACTTCTCCTACCTCTGCCGCATCAACCACTCAGTCTGCTGAACCTACCGATCTTGTCAAGTTACCTGCTGCATCCACTTGCCCCAAATCCCTTGAAAATGGATGTCAATGGAATGAAAGGTCTCAGGGTGGCAGTCTCACCACCTGTCAATATAGGGGTCGATGGCCTGGAAGTGATGGCGCAGGCTTTGCTGTTGAGCAACCCCGTGACTATTCTACGCCCTGGAGTCAGATGTGGTGTGTTGCCTGGTGTTCCCTTTACCCCGGTTGCAAGTCCGCAGCTTGGCTGCCAAATGAGCGATCGTGTCGTTTCTCCACCCATTCACTCTCCGATGCTGACTTCGAAATGGCTGCTGATCCCAACTCGGACTCTGTCGAGGATGGCATCTACTATTGGCATAGCCTCGACTGCATGACCTGCCCTTGCCACGACGATCCTACCACGTCTTTACTTCCTTCAGAGTCCACCACTCTCGTCCGAGCCGTGACACCTAAGCCAAACACCCCAACAACCGTCACAGCCACTACCAATGCTGTCACAGGAACCCCAACGCCTGGACCCGTGGAGCAGCCCTGTGAATGGGAGAACGGCCAGGGTATCTGTTATAGACCTTTCGAGAAGGAGCAAGGACCATGTGGTGGAAAGCTCATGATTGTCAACCCATCACAATACACAAAGCTACCACTCAACTGGAAGCCTGAAATCAGGGAGCCTGTCCAGTGTGCGATCATGTGCCATACCAACCCCGATTGTTACGCATGGGGTTTCGAGTGGAGCAGCAACATGAACTGTGTTCTCTCCCTTGGGCAGACTGAAGTTGATGAACTGCAGGTTGTTCCTTCGGGAGCTCAGTATCGCTGGTACTCCCATACATGCTGGGAGTGCAGAGACTGTGTTACTCGTTGGAACTGGTCCTGGGATTCCTTGCCTGCTGGAAACTAAGAAGATTTGATTATGTGTCACGCGTAGAAAAGGGCGCACGGTGAAGTAAGAAAACTCAAGACTTTTATCCTAAGTGATAAGAAGATTTGGCAATTTAGTCTAAATTTAGGACAGTCTTTCATGAGTTTATTTTAGCATCGTCTTCTAAAGTTGTATTATTTTCTTACTCCCTAAGGGGGCGTTTTATGACTTGAGCTCGTTGGATGATGGTGTAGCGGGTATATAATTAGAAGACGCTAATCTAACTACTAATATTAATATCTTAATTTATTCGGTGTAGTCTGTATTGCAGTTAAAATCTAAGCCCTTGCATGTATTTGTCAGGGGAACTAGTCAAATCATGCCAGCAACCTCACAATTTTGCTCCTTCAGATTTCCTGGCCTCCCTCTCCCTATCCCTCAGCCTGCGTCTCAAGATCTTCCCAGTCGGGCTTTTCGGTATCGCCTCAATGAACTCCACTCCACCCTTCAGCCACTTATATCTAGCTTTATGCTCCTCAACATATCGTTGTATATCCCTCACAAGTTCTTCACCAGACTGATTTGCATGGTTTGCTTTGACTACAAATGCTTTCGGAACCTCGCCGGCCCTTGCATCGGGGATCTGGATGACTGCGCAGTCGCTCACGGCGGGATGAGTGAGGAGATGTGACTCGAGCTCTGCTGGCGCAACTTGGTGGCCCTTTTCATATGTTCATCAGCCAAACAAGAAACGTTAGAAGTGAAAGGTGTTGCTAACCTTGACTTTGATGAGCTCCTTGACCCGATCAACAACGACAAAGTGCTCGTTGCGGCTCTCGGACATGCGAACCAGCACCTCATCCCCCGTTCGAATCCAGCGGCCGTTAGCATCCTCGAAGAAAGTCTCGGCGGTGGCCTCGGGGTTATTGAAGTAGCCAAGAGACACCGTTGGACTCTGAATCAGTAGCTCGCCTGGCTTTTCGTATTCCGTAATCTCTTTACCGTCTGGGTCGATGATCCTAGCCTTGGCTGCAGGAAGCAATGATCCCGTTGTGCCGACTTGTGTATCATGTTCGCTGCTTTGTATAAACACAGTCGCCGTCTCTGTCATTCCTATTCAAGTATCAGCAGCTACTCTGAGTTCAGTCAATTGGTTGTCTTACCATAGCCTTGTCCAAGTCGCCAGCTTGGATAAAGACTCAACAAATCATCCACTGTTTCCTTTCCGAGTGGTGCAGCACCGGTATACACAAACCTGACACTGCTCAAGTCGTACTTGCGACAGAGTTCCCTCCTGTCCAGCATCTGGATTACGATTGGGGGGACGATTGGAAGCTGATGTATCTGAAAGCGACTGACCGCAGACAAGAAAGGCTCGAATTCAAAACGAGGCATAACGATGATCTCGTCGCCGCGATAAGTCCCCAAGTGAGTGATGAGCATCAGCCCGAAAACATGGCTGAACGGCAACACTCCAAGCATCACTTGTGTGTCGATTCCATCGGCCTTTCGAGAGACTGAGTCGAATGTGCATGTTTGTATGATGCCTGATATGATGTTGTAGTGTGATAACATGACCGGTTTCTCAATGATAATTAGCGAAAGATACCTCGAAAAAGTGTGAGTCTTACAGGTAAACCAGAAGTACCGCTTGAATACAGCAGATAAGCCGTTTGTCGAGCGCCTTGTACTTTCTTCCATTGCAGTGGGGGCAATGCAGGCAATTTCTCTCCCTCTTCGATTAGGTCGTCAATCGTCTTGAAACCATGCCTGCTCGTAGCATTGGGCACTGGAAGGAGGAATACATTCTCTCGAGAGATACCAACGGCGTCTGTCGCTTTGAGCGCGGTATCCAGAAGGGGCACACAAGTAAAGATAGCTTTTGCGCGTGAGGCGCGGAGCTGGTGCTCCAATTCCGATGCTGACAGAGCTGCGCTGCTCAGACTTGCGATGCCATTCAAACGATGGATGGAGTGCGTGAGGGGTATGTAGTCAATCTATCTCCACGTCAGCCCAAACAACAGAGCCATTTGTGAAATAGTCTGCTCACGGTGTTGAGAGAGAATATGACGCAGACGCGATCCCATTCCGACCCAGATTGCGAGTCCAGTTGAAGGGCTTTGCCGATGCCCCGCGCAAGAAAATCCTCTCTACGGATAACCTCTTCAGCTGTACGCGTTTTTCCAGTCAATCCACACGTGTATGGATGTCGGGCTTTCGCAATAGGATATCGGCCATACTCTTCCGAGCTCATGAACTCGGCGACGCTGACGGAGTCTGGAGGATCTGGGCGAATTAGCGAATGCATTAGAGCGAGAGATATTTTTAAGTACCAATAGGCAGGTCTGGCACCCATGATGGTGGATAGAAAACCATTATAGCTGAGAAAACTGAGTGCCTCACTTAGTGCGAACTGGAGATGGTGCGAGTTAGATTGATCTGATAAGATCTTTGGTATTCTCCCGCCTTGCGCACTTTTTGATGTGACCCCGCATCTGATGCGATTGCTTGGCGATCGGCGGGTGGTTCCGAAGGCTTATCGGGGATTTGTAAGGTTCGGCAAGATGCAATTGCCATACACTTTGAGCCGCAGCTTGCATTATGAAGTTGTAAGCTAAAAATCAATTAAGGTCACCGAGATGGGCGGGTTCATGAGATGGTATAAAATAGGTTATTTAGTCTATACTGATATATATACTTCTAAGTCACCCTCCAATTATTAACATTACTATCGCCCATCCTCCAAGTCATGCCCCCCATCTAAATCGTACTCTCATGACCGCTTAAGGGAGAGCAGCAGGGGAGTACTTCTGGTCAGGCTTGACAACCTTGCCACCAGCAAGTTGCTTGTCAGTGTAGCTGGGGTAGATGATCTGCTTCTTGCTGCTGACGACCGAGAGAGTGGTGAAGCCCTTGTCGGCACCGAACTGGCCACTCCAACCAGAGGTGATGGTGAAGGTGCCGCACTTGGCAGGGCCGCCGTTGGCCTTGGAGGCAGGCTTGCCCTTGACGACGTACTTGCAGGCGGTGGCGGCGCCGCTGCCGGTGTTGATCTTGAAGTTCCAGGTGCAGGTGGTATCAGCCTTGTCGCATGAGCGGGAGAGAGACTGGATGGTCCACTGGGGAGAGGCGGCCATCATGGAGACGGAGTCGGCAGCGGCAGGGGCTGCGACTGCGCCGGTGGCGGAGACGAGAGCGATGAGAGCGGCAGTGAACTTCATTTTGATGGTTGGAAGTGGAGGGTTGTAGGTGAGAAAGAGTTGTTTGTTTGTGTGAAGAGTGGTGGTTGTGAGTGAAGAGTTGTTGTAGAGAAGATGAGAGGAGATGATTGATGATGAGAATGTTGATTATCGCAGGTTGATCAGTGAGTCTTTATAGATCTCGCAAAAGGTATTAATAGATTCATGACTTCATATCTCTCGGACCATCGGCTCCATAGTGTTGAGCTCTGATGTTCGCTCTAGCCGATACTACAGCTGATCAGTTGACGGTAACGTTTGATCGAGGCTTAGGCCCAGCCTCACATTCTAGAACTCCATTTCCATGGTATGACAGAAAAGTCCAGGCATTTCTCCCAGTGACACTATCTGCCGATTTCCCGTCTTTTTTTCCGCCCAGCCCATTCGAGACCTGGGGAACCCCGATAGCTAAGGCGAGGTTTTAGCCTGTACAAGTCTAGCGGGATGCTTTTTCAGCGAATCAGCGCATGATTTATTCTTAGATTCTTGACCCCTGCGCATTTGGTGCCTGATGCAGTTACGAGCTTCTGGGAATACGAGCGGATCAACAGGAACTATTGTTTGTCCCTTGCCCCTGCATTTCAACTCAATGCGATATTCGTCTTAGGGGATCTCGTAAAGCAGAGTCGGTGAAGATCACGCTCGTGTTTATTGTTGAGGCAAATCTTAGCGATGCGAGGCCAAAGCTCGACCGGACCCACGTGGGTTGTTTCGGCGCCGGAGCTTGGTGATGATGTAATTGCGATCGCTGCTCGAGACCGAGAATCATGGAAGATCGTCGTCTAAATGATGTATTCTCAATTGGTGATCAGCAAAACAAGATTCAAGCATGTCCTCCTTCTCGTCAAGGTGTTGACCAGAATCAGGAGGATAATTCGCGAAAATTTCGCTGGATGGAATCGATTGAGCTCTCGCCTGTGATGTTGGTATGTAGTATAACTCTAAGTTCTAGCTTAAGAGCGTAAATTTCCGCTGAGTGACATTGCCACTCGATTGCGCCCAATTAGCGACGGTACGTGACCACCAGTGCGTCTTGATATCCTGAGGCTTATGAGCTTTGTACTATGTGTTACATTCTGACATAAAATGATGAAGTATTATACTGCAGATGTAGAGGGACTATTTGTAGGAGAAAGGAGCATAGAAAGCTGGAAAAAGTGCATTGTCAGGCATATTTATTCGCTGTAGGGTAGCGACTTTATTTGCCATCGCTGGCATTCCAGACAACGAAGCTGACTTTATGGCTTTCTAGGCGCCACTTAGTCAAGCAAGAATGCAATAAGGTAACGTAAAAATTCTTTCCTGTATTTATTTATAGAGCGATAGAGCTGTGGCGTCTCTTATCTCAATCCGGCGATGAGATTGATTGATTTGAAGCCATCAACAGTTCGCCTCTCATTGAAATAAATCTCGCCTCTCGGTAAATCCGGCAATGAGATGTCAACGGTAAGTCGGCTTCAAGCCTCCCAGTGGACGCTGCTCATGGACCAGTATATTGTTGCATTTATAGAAGAGCTCAGGTCAACTGTTTTCTTTTAACAAAAAAACTTACATATTGATAGAGCTTTACTCCTTACGCTGGTAGCAGCTATGGACGGATGTCTCCGGACTCATGGGATGAGTGAGCCCCACTGATGCGGCCGCATTTTCCGTACTCATCCCCGCTCTTCTCAAGTCCGACACCGGTAAAAGCACGGAGTTACGTAGATTAGTAGGTAATCAACGCGAGATTGCTTGTACGTGCCATCAATTAATTGAATGAGTAATACATTGCAAAAACAAGACTGGCATACACCAAACATGACAACCCGAAGCGAGCAAGCGTGCAAAGCCTGTAAAAGCAGAAGCGCCGTTGCGATAAGGCTATCCCAGAGTGTAGCTTATGCAAGCGCACTCAACGCCCGTGCGAGTATGGCATCGCGACTGATTTCCAGCCCAGTGCTAGCGACTGGAGTATGATGCAGGCGCGTCTCAGTGAGCTGGAGAATCGGCTGGCGAACTCTCCGAGGGCTGCCGAGCAGCACATCTTGAGCCCAATCTCAGGCCCGGCTTCGGGGTCATTATCGGAACAGGAATCAACGCCAGGCGCGATATTCTGCGACATCGACACGCATAGCATCGGGTCGAATAGTGTCAACTCATGGTCCCAACCTACCGGTTTCACGCCTGCCTACTCCACCGCTGAATGTTCAGACTCAACATCGGTGTCACGTTTTCCCGCATCTATGTTCCTCGATATTGATTGCTATGTATGGTCTCAAGCGAAGCTGCCTGTCCCTTCCGGCGCCATCCCTGCGGTAAGTTGCCTCTAGTTATCAGCATGCTCACCTTATTCCTGGCTTCAATTCACTGCTTTAATGTCCTAAATTTGTTGCTAAGTGCCCTAATCCTCTGTAGCCCGTCCTCGCGCTGCTCAGCCAAGGCAACGTCGTTCTAGACGTATCGCAGACCTATTTTGCGACGATTCATACTTGGTTTCCCATGATATCTAAGAAGAGGATGGATATGGGTCTCCCAGTGCAGAATGCAGGCCCTGATCTTGCCATGCTGTTTCTTGGAATGAAGCTCATTACGACTCCGGCTATCGACATCACCGACTCAACCTTGTATGATACAGCCAAAAGCTTCCTGGCGAGTTTGGAAAGTAACGGTGTCGTATCGCTGCTCTGCCTTCAGGCTATGATACTCGTAGCCTTGTATGAACATGCTCATGCAATCTATCCGGCAGCTTGGATGACCGTCGGGTCGTGCGCGCGCTACGCTGATATCTTGGGCATCACGCCTGGTGATTATTCTCCATTGGGCCAAGTGGTACGTGCTATTGATATAACCATGGGTGGAATAATGAGCTCAGCATCACTTGACCATATTTGCGAAGATAAGGGATGAACTAAGCTGACATACCCGCAGACAACCTGGACAGAAGCCGAAGAGAGAAGGAGAGTGTGGTGGACTATCTACATCCTCGACAAACTCGTGTCACTGGGAAGCAGAAAGCGTTGCTTACTTCCCAATATCTACCCCCAGTGTAAACTGCCTGTCGATGATGACGCATGGGTAAGTCGATAGAAACTCAACACTTACACGATAGCAACTAATACGAAGCTAGGACCGGGGAGAAGTAAACGTGGCCGTCAGTCACTCAACCTCAATATCATATCAGATTCAACAATCTCCATTCGCAAGACTATGCCAAGCCTCGATGTATCTCGGACGCGCCATAAGCTACGCCCGGGATAATTCCGCCATGACAACGTCTCGTGCTGAAGAAATCATGTCTTTGGCAAACGAGCTGTCAGACTTCGGGGCAACAGTGGATAATGAGGCTACGGCCCTTGGCCCCGAAAAAAGAATCATACTACTCGCACCACGATGCATTGCCTGCTCAGCGCTCTTTGTCGCCCTCGACCGTTTCACTTGCCCCGAGAAGATCAGTGCAGAGCCCGGGTATGAAGTTAGTCCAGAGGACAAGACACAGAATGAGATTGAGCTGCAAAGACAGTCTATGCATATCATAGAACAGGTCAGCGAACAGCTACACACTCTGGGTATGGACCTGCTACCCGCTTTCAGAACGGACGGAATATCCTCGCTGTCTGGAGTAAGCCCTTTCATGCTGGATTCTATCTACGCAAGTGCAGCGACATTTCACTGGCTTCTTGGCGAGGGCGGAAATGAAGTTTATCGCACGGCTGCAGCTGATTTGGGCATGCTTTTGGATACTATGAGCTCGAGGTGGCGGCTTGGAAGCACGTACCGCGAGATGTTGACGGTCCACGACGTCACAGCAAGGGTAGAAGCTAGGACCACATTATAATTAATTGCGTTCTAATTGAAAAAGACATGTTATACCCGAAAATAGCTTTTTTACAATGCACGGTCTTGCGTAATGTCTGTTGCTTTGGTATCGGAGCGGAGCGGGTGCGGAGTGCGGCCGCAGAATCCGCATCGCCCTAAGTGCCGTCTTGGGCGGACGCGCATCAGACGTGACTCCCCTCAGTGCGGCCGCATCATATAGAATCAGTTTAATTATGATTGCAACGCGCCTTGCACATGTTGATAAGAGAGGGCTATATATACCGAGCTGGAGGCAGTTCCAATGGTCCCAGAACACCACCACTAACACTTTCGCACATCTAATCAACAACTGCATCATCGCCACCATCAATATCCTCCTTACCTACCTAGAATCTATCAGATCATCAGTAATATATACTCCCCAGACTATCCATTATGAGTGTCCGCCGAAGCACCATCATTCCCAACAAGCCGACCTTGACAGAGAAGAACCTTCCTGACCAAGCAGGCAAGGTAAACCATACTCCACTTACAACTATAGCTTGTCTAATACCGACACTCGCTAGGTCTTTCTCATCACTGGAGCTTCTGGCGGATTGGGTAAGGAGATTGCTTCAATTCTATACCAGAAAAATGGAAAGATCTACATGGCCGCTCGCTCTCGAACCAAGACCGACGAAGTTATGAGGGATATCAAGGCAGCTCACCCAAATTCGACCGGCAGGATGATATTCCTTCCACTGGTCCTCGACGATCTCACCACCATAAAGGCTTCGGCTCAAGAGTTCCTCGCACAGGAAAGCAGTCTTGATGTACTCTACAGCAACGCCGGTGTAATGGTACCCCCGCAAGGGTCAAAGACCTTGCAAGGCTATGAGTTACAGATTGGCGTGAATAACCTCGCACCGTTCTTATTCACCCAATTACTCCATCCTATTCTTGCTGCTACGGCTCAGAGTGCCCCTAAGAACTCTGTTCGTGTCATTTGGGTGTCTTCCAGCGCTGCTGATGGTGCTCCAACCCCCGCTATCGATTTCTCGAACATGGACTATCACAAGGAAGAAGGGATCTGGCCAAAGTACTCAAGGAGTAAGGCTGGAAACGTCTTGCACGCCGTTGAGTTTGCTCGGAGGACTGCCGGTGAAGGCATTATCAGCGTTGTTCGTTATACAGCCTCCCTTTTTCTGTTAGATGCCTGGAACTAACTCTTGTCTTCAGGCTCTGAACCCTGGCAACTTTGTGACCAACCTGCAGCAGAACATGCCCAGGATGCAGCTTGCTATCTTCGTAAGTCAACGCATTACAAAAGCTGAGACTTATTACTAATGCTAGATGCGTAGAAACTCATCTCTCACGCACCCAAGAACGGCGCCTATACTCAACTATTCGCAAGCCATTCGCCTACAATCACAGAGAAAGAAAATGGCTGCTGGGGTAAGTCTTTGTCATTGATAAGCTGTTAGAGAAAACCATTTGGAATTCAGGATCGCTGACTGTATCCATTGAATAGTTTCTCCTTTTGGAAAGGTCGAGCCATGCCGCAAAGATCTTCTTGATCCTGACCTGGGAAAAAAGTACTGGGAGTGGACCGAGGAACAGGTCAACAAGTACAAGTAACAGGCTCGGGATTCGAGAGCAGGCAGTATGTGTGGTAATAATCTTATATAACAATCTTGAAAATTAGAGGACTAGGGTCTTATTTCAATGAGGCATGCCGGGGATCAGAGGCTGGTAGGACGCTCCAAGTTAATTATAGCAGTAATATGTAGTATATCGAGCCTAGAAGAAATTAAGTTCCTTAGTTTTTCAACACGGACTTGGCCAGATCGCGTAGATTAAGTGAAGCGAATGGAAACCAAACACCCTGGTCAAGGGTTGATTCCAACTTGTCCACGTACGTTTTGTCCTCGTCTACACGCTGCACAGTTTCAGCCAATCCATTTTCCTTTGAACCAAGAATAAAGAGCGCAACGGCGCAAGACCATCCGACGATATCCTCAAATGCTTCTCGAATAGGTGAAGCCGCATGATACTCTTGGATCTTCTTGATAAGATCCCGTTTCTCTGAATCATGGTCTGCCCGAGCAAACAAAACTGCGAGCGCCAACACAGCCGTTGCGCTGACGTTGTTGTTCGTCTCTCCACTCAGTCGGTCGAGGAGAGCGACTTTAGATGTAGCCAACTGACGTGGGAAGAATGCCAAAGCATGGGCCGCATTGGCTCGCATGCTCGCTGAATCTTCGTCCAAGCAACGTATAATAGAAGATAGTCCTCGTTCGACTGCCTCGTAGGTTTTGAACCCTTGCATTGCACGATCACGGTACTCAGGCTTCTCTATTTCTGCGATGCTCTTTTCCCAATTGTTGATATCGATCCCATTAGGGACCGACCAATCTGGATGACCGACTGCAAGACTGGTAATCAGATACAGCAGGCTTTCGCGATCCTTGGTGGCTGGGCTATCAAGTAGAGCGTAGAGAAATGGAATTGCTTCGACTGAAGCACTGTAGCGTGAACCTTGGTGATAGATGTTGGACCAACATTTAGTAAATGCTGTCTTGTACACTTCAGGATCTGTCGACTGGAGGTCCTTCAAGAGCTGTGGTACGTCATCCGCTGGTCCGTAGGCATGGCTGAATTGAGACCAGTCGATGGAATCAAGTCCGGCCAGAGGATCCGTGCTTTCGGGTGACATAGAGGTAGTGGGCTATGTGCTGTGTTGAGAAAATATTATGTTGAGGTTCGAATTTGCGCGTATTATTGGGTTGAGGGGTAGCCCTGTAATTATAGCCCAGAAACTGGGCAATCTGGTAGTGTTAGGTGACTGATATCGTTACAGCCGGCTATGCGGAACGACACCGCATTAGTAGGGCGGAATCAAGTCCTAGACAAGAAAAGTTAGAAACTTAAAGTCCTAGATTAATTGCATGTTTCTAGCTCTGATGATATCAGTGGACCCGACCTCTTGACGAGCGACCTAGCGCTATTCTGACTTAAAAATCTCAAAGACAAGTGCCAACTTGAATCATTTTCACCAGCCTGTCAAGATATTCATGGAGACCTACCTTGGCCTATATAGGGATGATCATGAACCGAGCTAAAATGATGTTATTGCTAGCTAGGAAAACCTTTAGATATCCTGAATCTGCTGTACAATTTTGTTAAAAATTACTCCATCATCTTCCTCCTCAGAGCAGTACCCTGCCTCTTGTATCGACTCCTCGCAAGTCGAAATTTGCACTAGATCATTCCGCCCATCAAGCTTATTGTCCCATCCTTTGGCTACAGCCTCCAAAGCATCCTGAATCCTGTTTGGCCAAATGTGCTGCCAGAATTCCAAAACCCTCTGGTAGTAGAGGTCGGTTATGCAAACGACACTCGGGTCATTGGATACTGAATGATCAATACCACAACTGTCAACCTTGGCTGAAACGGTCGCTTGGTCTCCGGTTAGCACAAAATCCTGAAACATGGCGACGACGTTCTCCAACTGATTCCTTGCCTCCACATCTACATTGAGGATCTCGAACTCTATCTCGTCTGGCTCCAGTTCTGTCACTGGGTCCAGCCAGTATATCTGATCGGGATCACCCGGCCAAGGACCATACCCAGGTCTATCTAGACATGTGTGCTTTAGATCTAGCGCAGCAAATGTTGCCTGTCGCACCATAATGATGTGATGGTTGATATCCAGACGGTTGCCATACGCTTTCACGTAATAACCGAGCTTCGTTACAATATCCTGGGGTGTATGGTCTTGTGGCTCCTCACGGGGATGTGCAAGCCACTTCATTCTCGAGGTGAAAGGGGTACAGCCATCCGGTGAGCACAGACAAGAGCAGTTATCAATCGAAGTCGATTCAGCTAGATAATGCTCTACCCTGTCTTTTGTGATATCTTGACAAGGGCATTCGCAGGCATGTATGCCGAGAATGTCAGCAAGAACGAAGATAGAAGGCATCGGGCTAGTGAATCTGTAGCTCCACTTCCATAAAGGGGCTTGATGTTCAAATAGCCACATTGCGTACTCGAGTGAAATGTAACGATCATTTGGGTACAAAAGCGCTCTGTCTAACGGAGAGCCAAGATCTTCATCGGCAAAGAGAATTTGGAAGTCGTAGTCAACGAAGAGAGTTGCATCTTCTGGGGTTTTTAAGTCGAAAAATATTGACCTGGAATAGTTGTCGACATCTTGCCAAGGCTGTCGAGACAGATCCACGAAAGTCGACAGCGGTCCCAAACCAACGACTCCTTTTTCGCGAAGCAATCTATCCATTTCGATGGCGTCTCTGTCGAGTACTTCTTCCAAAGCTGTAAAGTTGCTGAGCTCTGTGATCGAAAGGCTGTTTTTGGCCAAGTCTTTTAGCTGTCGACGACGACTTCGCAGCTCTTTTGCCACAAGTGTTTTGCAGTGCAGAGAAGCTTCAGAGAAGCACCCTTCCGTATTGACTGTATGATGGGTTTGATTAAAATCGCGGTGGGGTATGATGGGACATCCAGCAGTCAGAATGACACGAAGCGGTAATGTGCAGGGACAGCACGATTCATCCAAAACATCCCCTGAGCTACAAATCTCACGACTGACTTGAATTGCAAGGTGAAGAACAGTCGCGTCATCAAGGGTGCGTCGAATCCAGTCTTCGGGCTTTACTTTCTTGGCGAGCACTTTCAAGATATCTAGCCTATAAATGGCTATGTGTAACGGCGTCTCCCCATAATAACTTAGCTCTTCAAGCATGTTCGGATGTAAAGAGATAATCCGCTCCACTTCTCGTAAATTATTTTGGATGATTGCTAAACCTAAAGGACCATAGTGAACTGCTCTATACAGTGAGCATTCTAAGAGAATAGGAAGGGAGCAGCAGATTATTGAATAGATAATGGAACTTACTTCTTGCAACGCTTTGGTTAAGATCGTGATAATCAAGGAGTCCACGCCTATCAAGCAGTGGATAATATGTATATCTGGAAGCTGCTGCTTCATCCCCAGCATTCAGATGGCGATATAGAGAGGCAGGAACAAAGGTCCCTAGGATGAACTTGTGTACTGCCGCTCTGAAAACTATTAACTTAAGGAAACGAGTATTTTTTGGGGCACATACTCTCCAAAACGGCTGCGAACTGTGACAGATGTACCCGAAGCAACAAGAAAATCGAGCAAACCTTCAAACGTTAAGCGGACGAAGGAGGAATTTGCTCCTTGTAAAGTTTTTAACCAAAAACCTAGCTAGAGACGTTAATGGAACAGTCCGTTATGCTTTGAGATCAGCTGGCCTTACTGAGTCGATTAGGAGATGAAGTAGGGTATAATTCTTTTGGGTTACATCATTAGGACTTGCTCTCCCCGAGCAAAACAACTCTTGAAGCTTTCGCTGAACAGCGCTCAGAATTATTCTGGATCTTGTCTCATTCATGTCCTCGAGTCTGCTTGCGCGACGAAGAAGAGACATGACTAAAAATCCTGGCGCGACTTTCTCATCAACCACTGGAAAGTAAGTAAAAGAGGGGCTGATACTGAATTTTCCTGCCCGAGCACGAGTAGTGAAAGACACTTCAAGCCCCCTTTTGAAGACAGAAGCAAAGCCTGTAAAACGGATGGTCCGTGTCCTTTCGTAACCTGATGGCATGAGAAAGAAAACACAGTCTTTTTCGTGACAGTGATCGGATAGCATCTCTTCGGCGAAATGAATTGAGCCTAGAGCAAACCTTTTGTCTTGACGCATGCGCCGTGACGGGCAAGAACACATCGATACGAGATCCCTTTTGGCAAACACAGTAAGTTTCCGGTCATTCTCACCGGTCGAAAGATGGTTGCCTTGTCCTTCAGAGTGATCTTGTAAACGCTTTTGGCTTGTTCCTGTGCGATCTTGATATCTTGTAAGTTCGGCCGTATCGAGAAGAGACTTGATTTGAGCTTGCATCTGGGCATGCTGGTACGCGATCTGGTAAGAGATCTGGTCGAATCTCTGGTTGACATGGGGAATAACAGAATCAACGGAAGTTTGGAGAACGGGGAGGGCCAAATCGATTTTCGAGATAGGCTGGCGCAGTTCTTTGATAGCGGTCGAGGTAACAGAAGTAATGACTGTGTTTTTCTGAATCTCGATAATTTGTTCGTTTAAAGTCTTTCTGGTTAAAGATTCCCCATCTCTAAGATTCGTCAGCTGGAGTAATTGATAATGATTGGGTCGCCCAACAAATGAAGTATTCCTAAAGTCAGATCAAGCGTTGTCGAAAGCCTATTCAAAGCTCCATCTAGAATTTCGATATCGGGCTTTTTTAGCGGATATATAAGCTTCTTACATCCACCCTTGATCTTTTCTCTTGTACGCGCGTGAGAAGTCGATGATGCAACACTGGTAGTGGTGGCGAAGACTTTCTGTTGAAGGGTTTCCAGCTCTGTCAGTGCTTTTTGGCATTCTTTGAGACTGGCATGAGCCTCTGATGCTGACGCAGAGAGCCCTGGGTCAAGCTCGGAACGTTTGAGAGCGGCTTCAAGTGATTGAAACGTGCTTTCAAAGCGTTCAGCCTGACGCACAAGTCGAGCGCGGTCATCATCGTGACCGTTGAAGGCTTTCAGATACTTGGTGAGACTAGATGTAACTGTGATTCCCAGGGGAATAATAGCCAGCGCCAGCTCTGCCATAGTTGCTAGACCATAGAAGGATAAGAGGAGGAAATAAAATTCACACGAGCGATTTGTGAAGCGGATAACAGTACTAAGTACAAAGTACAGAACGAGGCTACCAATGATATTCTACTACGTGTCTGAGCCACTGCAGGGCATTATTCAGGATTACGAAAACAGATTTCTAGCAAATCGATAGGTCAAAACAGCAGTGAACTAAACGCGATTATGCCCGAGTACAATCACTGTTGCAATCCGCCTCAAGCCACTCCTTGGCGGCATTGCTTACGCATGAGGTTTTGCAATTTCGTTGTGAATTACTTCGGGCTGTGCTGTGATTCCTGCCACCAACATCTGATGCTGCTTGAGACAGGATTTATGGATAAAACCGGTAGTAAAACCTGTGATAAATATTAATATTTATTTCCTAGTCTAAGCCGCCTCTCTACAGTCCTACGCAAAATTTGCGATGAATGGATAAGCACCAGCATAGCGATAGAACAGCGACCAAGGCTCACCTATGTGGTTACATTTTTGACAACCTATTTGTCTGATAGCGCCATTCTACTTCCGAATACCAAAGCTTTATCTCCGGCAGGGTAAGGATCTCGCCCGATCTGCCGGTGCAAGATTGCTCTAGGCTTTAGAGGACTAACCTACGATTTCAGTCTATTATTCATATACTAAGTTCTTATACAAAACCAATCGTGACGCTCATACCCGGCGCTGTATAGTGCGAACTCGTATAGTATGTTGTACTCCTGTCTTGGAGTATCTTGCTACATGTCCACATTTCGAAATTGGCGCTGACGACAGTGCAGATGCGAGTAAAGAACCTGGCTCTTACTATCTGAGATATGCATATCGTTCATCAGAGAATACTAGATGGGATAGAGCTCGCGTTGAGACACGAATGAGCCAGATCCTCGTGAAATACGCTATGGACACCCTTAGCCATCATAGAAAGCAGTCGGCCTAATTCCATCTCCCGCCAACGGACTGCCATCGGCTGCTGTCTTGGGCTCGTTCAAAAAGGGCAGAGATTTTAGAGCTGCTATGGATGTAATTATTGCAAAATGGCTGAGAAGTGCGTTAAAAGACAAAGGAAAATATAGAGAGCTTTAAGAAAAGCAATAAGAACAGTAGTAGTATTAGCCATAGATTGCTACTATTAGGGCTTATTGGTAATCTTGTCGGGTAATGCGCCTCCTAGACCTTGGCAATGAGTTACTTGGATACTACTTGAGCTGGAGTCTTACGAAACCATCAGATCAAGGATACTTGGTTCTTCGCAACTAGCACAGCAATACAAGACTCAGGATTTCCCTCCCATCAATCCTCGACCCCTTCATTTTTATCACCCAGCTTCTCCACCTCTCGGGGTTTCAGCTGGCAATGACTGCCCGGCGCCTGTGACCGTCCAACAAATCAGAACTCGCAATTACAACGATAGCCCTGACATAAAATGAGAAGAGAACGGAATGTAAGATAACGGCTAGAAAGCTGCCGAGAAAGAATACAGCCACTTACGACCCGTAGCGCTGATGTGATAAAAGTCTCCACAGAGAGGTGAGACATCTATATTAGTGATCAACACCTGTCATCCTCAAAGGAAAGCTTTCAGCTCAGCCAAATTCTAACTATCTTAATATTCACAGCAATAGCGTGGCTCTCAGGTAATAATATGATAGAATTTCTATGCATCATCGAACCATGGCTGTCACATAAAGACATGAGTTCGTAGGAGTTCCCTCGACTAACCTAATCAGGTAGTTCAAGAATGCGCCACGTCTGCAATGGGCGGAGCTGAGGACGGCATGGCCCGTTCTAGTGCACGAGGCTGCATTATCACATAGTCTATCACTTGCTGATATGTGATATTGCCCAAACGCTGTGCTTTGATACGAGGGTGAGGTGATCGTTTCCGCTTTTGTGCACGGCACTGAGACATTGGACGGTCAGCTTCGGGCCCCTCCGCGGCCCGTGGCTAGCTGGATGAGCCTAATACGGTGAATCATATTCCTTTCTGGTAAGCGTGCGCAACTCCAAACGTAGGCCAAGGACGAATGAGAGAGTGCTCATAGGTCTGTCGTACTTGAGCCTCTTGAGTTCGAGGATACAGGCCGGGGAAGAGACCATATGCGGATGTGATATCCAAACCTTCTCAAACAATATTGGATATGGCATCACATTATTGTAATTACAGCAAACGAAATGACCCTTTGAAGAAAACTTTCAGCTGAAAAATATCAGCCACCGAGGAACACGTCAGGCTTCCCGTGCCCTCAAACTTATTATAAATATCTGTAGATGTCCTCACCACTGGAATAAACCATCAACCATCAAACACTTCATTTGACTCAGCTCAGAACCACTCTAACATCTCTTAAAATGGCTTCTCCTGTCCCCATTAAGTTCAGCGAAATCACTGCCACGTATTACAGACTGACTGGCAAGCTCATGCTGCATGCTAAAGGCACCATACCCGGGTTCTTCCTCACTCCCTCCTTTGAACAGGAGCTCTGGATAGGCGCCCTTAAGTTTGCCGTCATCGCTTATAGTGGTGGCTTAACCAAGCTCCCCCACAAGAAGGAGGTAGAATTCGACCGCGAATTTCCAATTCATCTACCCATTCCCGACTTCAACAACAAGTCGGTCTTGATCAAGACCGCCTTTGGCACTTCTGATATCCCTATTAAGTATGTTGACTCGGACAACTCTACTTCGGATATTATTGTGCCTCTTCTGGCTACCGCAGATGACACCGCTGCTCCGGCTAGCAACCCAGACAAGAAACCTGGCTACAACACAACTATCCGCCCACATAAGGATTATTATCTCACGGACAAGGGTACCCTTGACATCACAGCTGAGGTCCCCAAGCAGCCAAACTCTTGGGTAAACATTGATTTCAACCCCGAGTTCATCAAGCTGGTCGCTGCCAGTTATGAAAAAGGGTTTATCAAGTGGACCATTGCGTGGGAAAAGGTTCCAGATCTTTCACACGACCCTCAGCGCGTCAGTGTCATCACCACCGTCGAGCCCGAGGTTAAGATTCAAATCTGGCCTCCCATTCCCGACTCCAAAGACATTCAGCCCTACCTTATCCATCGCATGTTTATGGGTGGAGATCAGAAAGAGTGAGACGACTACCAACTGATCCTCGATGAGCGCATGTAGCCGCTCTTCTTTGAAGACATGGTGTCGGGGGAGATGGGGAAATGGATTGATAGTCTAGAGGAGAAAGGGGAGGCGTGATCTCGCATTCTCTGTCGCGGCTGTGTATTTAATTTCGAGAAACACCTGGGTTTTATGGTCACAGAACAGATATTGTCAACCGTTTCTGTCATATTTAAATACGATTGCGTTTGTGAATCGTTTCGTGCTACGCGACTCAAATGAAACTAAGTTGTCTCTGGAAATTTAAGCGGTCAGCCACATGTATCAAATGGATATAACGCACCTGGCTAACAAACTTAGACACTAGCCCGAGTGACACTTTTGTTCCTGGTGCTGGTTCAAAGCTTCAGATTCGTTAAATTCCAAAATGCCTTTAGAGCTAGAGAAGCCGCCGCTTTGACGGTTGAGAAGTATCTGGCCACCAATCTCAGGTTCTATGCTCAACAAAGACCTCTATTCCTAGTGTAGAAAGAAATAGCAATGCAGCCGATCGTCCCCTGTAGCAAAGGTCGATCTCTGCAACGCAGACCAATCGTATCTGGGCCCCGCATATTTTCAGCACTCCTGTGAGACATTGGAAGGCCTCAAAGTCTAAGGCTGAGCCCTGGTAAGCAGCTGCAGAATAGACAAGTATTGAAAACCATCTTGCGGTAATCTAAGTATATTGTACTATTTACATTTAGATCATATGAATGGAAAAGCCAGAAATACCGGGCATTATGTAGATTCCTCAATATGTTTCATGGAGATGCGTCGATTACCGTGAGCTACATCATGACTTGCGATATGAAGTCTGAAAGATAGGCTAGATGTGTGATTTGCAATTGAGACTTGTAACTGAGAGCTTAGGTCAGCAGAGAGAATGTAGCTACAACCTGAACATGTGTTTTGTTAACACCCATTTATTACCACTGCTGTCAAGATATAGTTATTCGTCCTGCTTGATACTGTTGAAAATATTTTGTGTGACAACAGGAGCGACTTCAAGGACCGTTTTCCCAATATTTCCAACAGTAGCGACAAAATGATCAAACAAGCCATTCTGCATCATTTGATCGAGAGGTATAGCTATTAGGCTTCGTAGACAAATGTCACCGATGAGAGCTCTGTGACACAGAATCTCGATATGAGTCGACATGTCGGTGACGCTCAGTTCTGACTCGCCGATGGTTCGAGTAATGTCGTCCATTTTGGGAGGTGTAGCAACTAAAGCGGTTTTGACGATGCTTGCAAGAAACTCAGACATCTCATTACCATCACCTTGATTTGTATACCGTGTAAAAGCATCAGTAAAGCTTTTGGCATGGTCGGTCAGAGAACCGCTCACGGGAGGGAGCTTTGGGTAGAGTCTTGACATTCCCTCGCCCGCCCCTTGCGCATTGACTGAGATCCGAAGCGCTGACTCGACAATTCCAGGAGTGATGAGTTTTGCAATCCTGGGAACAACATCCTTCGTCTCGGGGAATTGATCCTCCATCTTGTCGAAGATTCTGTAATCGTTTACCTTATGAGGATCCATCTTTATGATTGTCTGCATTGCAGCCTCTGCGACGATCGCACGTGCAGCACACTGTCTGTAGTTGACATGGACGGACCCAACGTCGATTGAAGTGTCTGCACCCAGCTTGCTTATCACACCGAGTGCGGTGCCTGCAACGGCAGCGATAGGACCGCCAACCTGGCCCATGAAAGGGAATCCAGTTCGTAATATCGAATGATCTACTCTTTGGCCGACGCTGGTAACCTTCCTGAAAATTGCCCAAAAGGTTTTACCGTCACTGAGAGGCTCTTCTGTCACACTACCCTCTGGGCGGCCTATGGTCATGGTGTATCTGATATCTTCGCTGCCAGCAGGAGCACGATCCAGGCCAAACATGACAGCAGACATGCCGCTTAGATAGGTTCCGAATCTACCCCGAAACACAGTTGCTGTGTTCCTGGTTCCGGAGCCATATGAAGAGACGCCGATAGCCTTGCTTTCGCCGCTGATGAGGACTGGGGATCCGGATTGACCTGATACATCTGGTCAGTATCGTGAGTATTTCGGATGAAAAGCCACTGCTCACCACTTGCAAAAGATATCGTGTGTTCGAGCAAATTGAAAGCCGTTTTCGACAGATCGCAATCTATCCTTTTGGTCATCTCATACATTTGCGCTCCTCGTTCATCACCCAAGAATTTGTCGCACGGGTATCCAACCACGCTCAAAAGCATCTTGTTCACGATCCCTGCAGTGGGTTGCTGGGCAATACGCACTATATCGTTGAATTCTTCCACTATTATGAATGCGACGTCACTTGCGAGGTTGGTGTCACTGATTATCCAGTCTTTCGGAACGACGACCTTGAGACCCCTACGGAATTGAAGGCCGGCCTGGTCAACAGAGTTCTTGCCATTATATCCCACGAAAGCGCGGACCTGGACAGCTTTGCCAAAGTCGTGTGTATGGTCGTAAACGCAGTGGGCGGCGGTGATGATGAGATGGGGCATAATTAGCCATCCTGTAGCTTGAGCATGACGCGTGTCGCTGGCATCCTGGCCTTCAAATCGAATCTGGAGCTTGACAATGGCTAACAGAAAGTTAGGTTTGGAGGTTGTCGACAATAACATGCCTCAGGAACCTACAATGATATTTCCCTCCAGGCCGATAGTGCACCGGATCAACTAATGTTCGTGAATCATCATCAAAGACCGTCGGAATTCCATCTGCTTCAGGTCCTATGGGCAGGACGTCTGTCGCCGGTGTGCGAGGTACGTCTCGGAGAGGCCATCGAGCGTAGGTTCTCTCAGGATTGGATGAATTCATAATGGTATAGAGCGTAATAGAGTGAGAGGATGCTGTAGAATGCGTAAGAGAAGATTGAGGGGATTCTTTCTAGAAATGGTCTGGTGATTCTTTAAGGAAATCCCACTTGGGGATTAGACATTAGACGCTAAAAACTGATAGCGCCTGGCGTCTTTCAGTTCGAATTTACAGGCCTGGATGGCTCTATGGCCTAGCTGATTGGTCAGGTAAGTTCAGCAACTCCTCGAAGAACCCCTTCAACCCCACCAAGCACAGAATCACAGATACGAGCAACGTGCATGCCATCATGCCACGTTTCAGCAGGTACCAGTGTAGCGATATTGGACTACTAGATGCAAAGAAGTGTAATGCTTGGCGCATACACCAATCTATCTCAGATTAATCATATGTTCTACCCCAAGATCGCCTCGCTGTCAAAGTACGACCCTCTAATTCATCCGCCTGTCCCCTCCTCGTAGATCTGGGTGGAATTAAAGTTTCCATAATAATATCATTCCTATCTGGCTCTGTTTCTTTGCGCTGAGTGATCTCGATGAACTGGCCCAATCGTTTTCTCCATCCAGGCAGAGCCCCATCTCCAATTTGTCAGCTATCACACTGGACTTAACGAGATAGGAGATTGATGTTGACTTACCAACCATAAGACTAGCAAACTTGAGTATTACGGGAACCCATACGCAAACCGCTACTAGCTGTCCAAAACCCCATTTGGATAGAGCAACCTTGCTCTCGTTGCCTGATTCCCCGCCGCTGAGCAGATGCATAAATGCCGCAAACTCTTGTACGCCGATTGCGCCCATAACGATAGTAAGGACCTCCATCGGGATCCAGATAGTTTCTGTGAAGAGCACGAAGAACCTCTGTGAATCAGACGAGTTCAGACGGAAAGGCAGGCTATCTGTCAAAGCATGGGCCTTGCGAGATAACCATTCAGCCTGCTCAAAGAGATTCATCCTGATCATAGCAAGGATCCAATCCAGTATCAGGAATACCATGATTACATGCATGGGTGCCTGCGTCCTGGAGTGAAACTTGAAGAAGTTCGCCGCATCTCGATCTAGATAGCCCGACTTTTCATCCGTAGTGGAACTAGAGCCTCCCGCTGCGGGCTTGTTGAACGTCTGACAGAACGTCCTAGGTCCGATGTGGTTTCCGCAGCGTTCTAGAGACGAAGATTCAGTAAAGTGCTTCAACAAAGAAGACTCATCGACAGTCTGGGGCCGAGCAATGAGCATAACAAGAACCCAGTTCATAAACACAAGAGCAAGTGTATACCACCAACGGTTGTGGGTCTTTTGAAGAATTAGCTGGACAAACAGTAGGGGGTACATTCCCGCTGAGGTCATTCCCCTCACAGTGAGGTTGTTCGTCAGCCAGGAGAGTAGCGAGCTGATGTTACCAAGTCCCGTTCCGCTGGAACTTGAGAAGGTGACGATAGCAGCTATAGAGATAGTACCGAGAAACACAGCTTGAGCTTCCTGAAGATCGACAAGAGTCGACGCAACTGTGACTCCGAAGCTACTCCTGGTAACAATTTCCTGCCATTGGAAGGCCGTCTCGAAGGCGCCGGCAGGTCCATGGAATGGAAGAAGCGAAATCAATGTGAAGTTCCTTGTCCAGGTCTTGGCGATCTTGTAGCAAGATGCAAAGAGCAGAACTATCGTGAACTGTATCAGATATGCCACGATTATCTATATGCAGTTAGCAAAATCTTCCGGTCTTAGTGATGTGAACTTACGCCAGGTCCTGCAATATCATAATCGATTCCAGGATCAGCTTTATTGCAATACTCAGCACCCATGATTCTGCCCAGGTCCCTGATATTGTCTGAGGTGATCGCCTGGCACTGAAACGCCCAAAGATCCTGAGGACACCCTCCAAACTTGGAGTCTGAACATGACTGAAGCGCGCATTTGACATACTTCAACAATGCGCCCCGTCGCCAGAACTCGTCTAGGCGCCCAATGTTAAACCTTCTATCCACCTCTTCTAATGTCTGGTTGCTAATGGTATCAGGCCCGCGATTGGTAGTCATCATAGCGACGGTCGCCAAGGTAAGGCAGTTCCATAGCGTTTCGGGGTTCGAAAACATGTGATCTTCGCTTCCACATGCTTTGTAACAGTTGGTAACATTGTCAACCATACACCCGCTCTCGATCAGTCTAGCAGGGACATCAGCATGGTCGATGATGGCGGGTAGGCGATAAAGCCATGCGACCTCCCATGCTCTCCAATCCTGGGGGATGGTGAATTGTTTGAATGGGCTGTCAGTGAAGTTGAGCGCCGGGAGGTACCGGAAACTTCTTTCTACCATTTTGACGGAACGCGGATCTGCTTCAAGATTAATTTCTGATGAGAGGGGCATACATGGATGCGGAGATCAGAGACTGAGGTTGTGTCCTGCTGCCCGGAGAGCCTTATTTATTGTCACGCTCTCATGCACCTCGCCACTGCCAAGATCAATATTGATCTGCATGTCAGCATTGGAGTTGGGGAGCATTGCGGTGGCCTCATTGATAAGAACGTCTTTATAAACACCATAACTATTAATAGGATACAGGCATCTTGTGCAATGTTGAAGAGTAGATTCACTTCTGGGTGATGATATTTCGTCTAATGGTGATCTTGTTCAAAATGTCATGAACTATCGGAGCTTAGAGTCCTGTATTGTTTTCGCAGCAACGAAGCTGGGTGCAGCACCAAGATCCTTGTCAAGCTGAAACCTCCCCTCGCACGACAGATGAGTTGGACGAACCAGCTGCGATGGATTCAGCCTCAGGCGCACTACCGGCTCATATACCTCCATCTCGCTCGACGATGGAGATTGATGTCCCCAGAGTAAAACGCCAGTATCATGCCGTAAATTCCACCGATCGGCCACTTATTCAATAACTTCCCGAGTCCCCAACCCTTATTGTCCCTCCCATCCGCATCAAGGCCGCTCTTTTTCACCTTGTCGTAGACGGTTGGCAAAGTCGTGGCGAAATAGCGTTCTCTGAGTCTCTCATACCACGGCCGATCGTACAATTCCCAGAATTGCTCCTCGGTGTAGTAGGTATGTGCGTAAAGCCACTTACGACCACCAAGTTCCATCAATTTCTTCTCCAGAGCCTGATTCTTCGCCTCGAACTCTTCTCTGTCTGAAGGACCCCAGCCCCAGACACCAATATTGAGCATTGGCTGCGACATGTTATCCTCTACGCCAGTATCTGAAGAGCTTTTCGTGACGGGATGAAAAGTAGGTGTTCGGCAGCCTCTCAGAGGACAAAGCCAAAGGGGCCATATTCCCAATTCTGAATCCACCCAGTCAATAAACGCTTCAGCGGTGTCGTATGGCAATGCTAGATCTTGAACCACGAACTGGTCTGAGATTCGACTTGCGTGAAGTGCATGATATAGTGTCCTGGTATGGGAGTAGTCATCCAGAAGCCAGCGGAAGAACTTGTTGAACGGGATGATCTTGAAATATGTGTATCCTTGGCGACCGACCCAAAAGGCAGCTCTGTCGTACCGGAAGAGGTATTCACCGAGTGGTATGTATTCCGTGACTGTTGAGAAGGGATGGAGAGACTCAGTCTGTTCTTTGACGTGGATATAGAACCAAGGGTCTTCTGCGTTGCTGAAAGTCCGTATTGGACAATCCACTGGCTTAGTGTTGATCAACTCGCCCGTAATGACAACGCCATGGTCCTTCGAATAGAGAATACCATCAACGTAATCAACATGTACTTTCTCGCAGCACTGCTTCGTTATCGAGATAGCAGCCGACACACTGTCAACTCTGCGATACGTTGTCTTGACAAATTTCTTCGCTTCGATGAGTCTGACCTGTATCAACGTCGTCAATCCTAGAGTCCCAGCCGCGCCTGCAGCACCATGAAACAAATCTTCATGTTCTTCTCGCGATGCTCGGACTACATCTCCGTTTCCAAGTATTATCTCCACAAAGTCGACCGTTTCGTTGAAGAAGCCATGTCGAAATGAGCTGCTTTCCCCAGATGTCCCTGCAAAGCCTCCTCCTACTGTGATCCCTGGGAATTCCATCACTACCGGAGGTACCAGGCCGTATGGCATAGTGGCTTCGACGAGTCTATCCATCGGTACATTCGGCTCCACAAGACAGGTTCTTTGCGCAGTGTCCACTGAAATAAGTTGGGATAGCATGCTGATGTCGATGATATTCGCGTCAGTTGCATGGCGAGGACGGGTACTGCTGGAAGAACCATGAAAGACGCGGTATGGCTGGCGGAGCTTGTACAAGTCGCCTATTTTATCTGCAATATCTTGAACAATTTGGTTATGACGCTCCATGGTTTGAGGCGAATGCATAAGCTGTAAAAGACTTGAACATTGGACAGATTGGCCAATATGTATACTCAAAACTTTGTCTGTCTCCATATTTAAGAACTTGCACCCAGGCTAATTTGGTAGACTCCCTACCTGGCAGCATTCGAGTAGGAGAAAAGATGGTGCAACTTTGACCAACATCAAAATGATCAAACTGAGACAGCAGACGGGAAGGAAAAGGCGGTGATGATGCCTACACGCGACCTTACCTAGTCGATCCATGTGGCCGACTGGCACCCTGACGCCTTGTTTCAAAATCACAAGTATCGGTTACACATTCGTTCCACAGAAAGAGAAAAACTTCTCATTCACAAGTATAATATGTATAACCAGCCATTCTAAATCTATCGAGTCTAGACCGGGACTGAGCATTCACCCCGGGCACAAGTAACACCATCTACCACGCTGTTTCACAACCTTACATCAAGCGTATCACAAATCTCCCTTAATCAAAGTCTTTCAAGTCCAAATCTTACCAAACGCCAGGAATAAATCGCCAAGGCACACGTCTGCAATACTCCGTCCACGCAGCACCATACTTAACCGAGCAGCTCCTCTCGTCCCGTATACACCGATGCACAAGCAACACCGTCATCCAAACCGCGTACGTCCACACCACAGCCCTTGTACTACCCACCAGCGCACAAGAGCTGAAGCTAAGAATCAGATCGCCCAGGTAATTCGCGTGCCGAGACCATCCCCACCAACCGCTGCAGAGGAGAAGACTCCTGTGCTGCCGGCCATCGGAGGTCCTGAAGGATGCGACTATGTATTCTGCCGGTTTACCCCACATGGTGCATTTTCCGCCTGTGCGTCGTACGATTTCTTTTTGGTGGTTCACGGACCGGAAGAGGATGTAACCTGCTACTCCGAGGGCGAAGAAGAATGCTAGATAGAGTGTTGAAGGTGATGATGGGTAGCGGCCCAAATATTGACCTTGGATGGTGTATGTTGTTGGCAAGAAGCAGAAGCAGCCCCAACTGAGATAAAAGCCGTAATGGTCGAATTTAACATCGATTGTGCGCAAATACCAGGATTCGTTAATGAAAAAATCCACTACGTAAATGGTCTGTAGTGCAGTGACAAGAATAAGCGAAGGTTCAACATATCCCTGATTCTGGTACTGATAGGCCATGTTCGAAAAGTCGCTGGATCACGTAAGTTTGCGATCTCGTACTGAATCAGCCAGACTCACATCAGGGTCCACACCATCATCCCAGCCCTGCCATTACTGAAAAGCTTAAGGTCAAAGTTCTCCCCCAACCTCGGGTTCAACTCAACGCCCATGAAGAAATCATACAGGAACGACCCTGTCCATATCAAAATTAGCGTTTAATTACACCAAAAACTCAAAAATGTGGTAGACTCACCGCTGAACTTCCTGTCTTCTGGGTGCGTCGGCATTACGTACGCTTTGACGAGCGCAAGTGCCGAAATAACGAACCCAGCCAAGTTCATAGCTCCAATCAAGCTACTCCAATTGCGGGGAATGAAGCCAGGGTCCAGAATCCCCAACCAGCTGAGGACTCCGTAGAGCAGATGCGTCACGATCCAGGCTGAGAGGCCGTTGATTTTGTAGCTGAGGAGATAGCCGGCTGGTGTCAATTGGCCTTGGTGTTGCTCGCCGGGGAGTAGGCAGTACAGAAGGGCTTGGATTCCAACCCAGCAGATCACTGCGGCGATGCCTTTGGTGGTGAGATGAGGACCGTACTGGGTGCAAATGGTCCAGAAGCCGTGTTCTTTGACGGCGTCTGCGAAGAGGGAGAGGGATCCTTCGTATTCGGCCAGTGTGATGAAGATTGATATCGAAGCCATTGGGGCGAGAAACAGAGGCGATGCACCAACAAGAGATCGCAGCCACGACCTCCCAAATGCTGCACGACCCCAAACATCAGCACCCGCCAACATCTGAACCTCTGTCGTCAGCGCCTTCGCCTCAATGGGCTTCTTCTTTCTTTGTGTCGTAATAGTAGTCGTCGAGCCAGCCATCGGCAAGCCCTCTGCGGTTCTTGCCATGGTGCGTGTGTATATTGTATACAATGAAGTTAAGTGTGAGAATGTGAAAGAGGAAGAGAATGAATGTGTAGTACAAAGGGATGAGATGATGATAATCACGGCAGTTTTAGTGGCTGGGGCATCGTCATCGATCAGCGGGTGGATCTGTCACCCGGCCATGGTTAGAGTATGTATTCGTGGCTTGAAATTATGTTGGTTTGAGTTATGCAAGCGGACGCGTGTGCGCGGGCGCGTTGCGAGCTTAATTGTTTGGCGCCAAGATAAGGCAGATTGAGACATGTTGGTGGCTTGAAATACTGTACAGGGTAATACAGCGTAAATAACGAGAACGAACTGGCGGTGAATGTGAGACATTTCGGGTGCTAGATACATTCAATGATCTGTTGAGATTAAAGTCTTGTTGTCCGGCGTCATTCTGATGCTCAAATGATACGAATTGTCTTTGGCCGAGTCACGTTCTTGCTAGTGCAACGAGGCTCAATTTTCGTGTTGCATATGGCAATTTCTTGCTAAACTGTAAATCTTTATTAGCATGACTAAATCACTGACCGCCTCCGTGAACGTCCGCCGCGCCAAGGTTCCTGGCTCCCTGCCGTGTCGTTGCCCATGGCGTTGCGTATCACTAGCGCCAGAGTCAAATGGCTTCAGTTCACGTTCACAGCCACAAATTCACCCGAAACTGCCCGACAACTATACCTGCTTCATTTCCAGTGAAGTATCTTGCCAACAGCATCATATTCCTATGTTGACACCTGTTTCATGCCCTTGGTAGAATTCCTCATTGGCTCAATGAATACGCAAATGACCATTTGACCTCATTATTAGACTATCTTAATAGTATATCCATCTTTCTCATCTCTCTCCAAATAAAACCTCCTTTCTATCCCCGAATCCCTCCAGATTTCTTTCCTCAACTTAGATATCGACGTGAATGGTGTCTTCTGGTCCGCCCAATCCCTCTTCATTTTCTCAGCAGCAATCTCAAACATGCCGATTCTCCTAAAAGTCCCTCTTTCTCGATCTGCAATTAATAACAAGCCGCACTCAGATGGTAGTCTCTCCTGCCAAGGGTGTCTAATATCAGCCTCCGCAATCTTGAGCGCAAAGATTCGACTGTTCTTCGGCACTTCCCTATCTAGCGAGATAGAACAGGGATAGTCTGCTTTCAAACCTTTACCAATGAATACAAGCATAGGCGTCAAGTCGATTGGGTTCAAGAACTTGATGCGATATCTCATAGTCTTGTGACTCATCCACCAGTTTGAGTGCAAGGGTCCTAGTCCGTTCCGTGAAGCAGAGCGAAAGCGCACTTCTGTGAGAGGCCCTTGAAGAACCAGTGCCGTTGGACGCGGCATCTCGATGCTTTCTGTCTCATCGTCGGGAATGATAATATCGATGACTTTCGTGATCACCTTCGGCTCGGTCTGTGCTCGGAACAGGAAGTTGAAGTCAACGGGCGTGTAAACAGATGCCCAGGACCAACTCGGCGCAACGCGGATGCTGGGGGGCTCATCTTCCGTTTGGGTGCACCATAGTAGAGAAAGTGGAAGGCTGTCTTGTCTCCAGAGCCCGTTGACATACGTCTCTCTTGGCACAATAGTCGTCAACTGCTCAGCTACACCATCAATAGCGATGAGCTTATCATTCTCTTTCGACAGCTTCCCGACGCTGTACTGAGCCACCACTGACGCCCATACGTACAGAAACATCTCTTCATCCGTGACTGTCTTCTCAGCATTCAACTCTCGCGTGAGAAGTTCCGTGTATACATGCTTGAACCTGCAATCCTCTACCGACTGTACGCCAGAGGGAAGCCTATCAGAAATGTCGAATCTCTTGTATCGGTACTGCAGATCCCAAGGCCCTCCCGTGGGATAAAGCTCTGAAGCGTAGAGCTCACCGCATTCCCAGTAAAGCATATCGTGAGCAAAGTAGACGGCTCCTCGTGATAGAAGCCGTTCCTGGAATACCCACGCGCGTTTCAGCAGTGGTGAGTTTCCGACTGCTTTCTCCCAGGGGTCTATTGGTACCAGTTGAAATTCTCCTTCAAGGTCGTGCGAGGGCCATTTTAAATCCAATTTAACACCATTGATGCCTGCTGGATTGCGTTCGCGAAAGAGCCCTCCATGTGCATCTGATGATGCTGCTGCTGCGAGCGTGATTGCTGAGTATGAGTAGACTTTGGCCATTGTCACAGAGTGCAGTCCCCAGTCTTCCGCATCGAGCTGAATAATGCAGAGAGCATCAATCCAGATGTACTCCATACCAAGTCGATTTGCAACAGTGATTGCATCGCGGAATGTTGCTGGCAGGTCTTTTATCGACATCCCGGTGGTCGTCATCTTCTCGATATTCGATTTGAGTAGTTTCGTGAATGGTTCCCTTCCCCAACAGTAGCTCAACGTCGCATATTCTATGCTTTGATGAACTCCGTCTTCTGCGTTGGTTTCTACAACTTTGATAATCTCAGGTACGTCATTTGTGTCTGTGATTATCTTGACTAGCCGGGCTGGAAGCCAATTCTTGTTCTCACCAGCGCGGGCATGTAACTTGTTGCATGACTTATGATTCTCTGAACAGTTCTTGATCCACTTGGACAAGTATTCAAAACTAGTCTCACTTGATGTACTTGTTGACGTCTTTTTGATTGGTCTGTGGCATTTCACACGAGGATCTATCGCCAATTAGTTTAGTGATACTGGCAATGGCTAGGTAGCGCACCTTCAGTTCCAAAGAGCCGTATATCAAGCCTATCCATATGGCGAAGATTACTCCTGCTGAGACCGAGATCCGCTGAAAGATGGCCCTCATATGTATATTCATTATATTGCCATAGCGCTAGCATTGGGTCGCCCTGTGTCCTCCAAGACGTTTTGCCGGCTGAATCCGCAAAGGATCCATTCCCATGTCTGCCGAGGACTTGGTCCGCTGCTGCGAATGCGACAACA